GATCTGTGAGATCTAAACCATCTCTGACTGGCTTCATCCTGTAGTGTTGGAGGAAGCCTGCCTAGGCTTACAAGACCACATCCCTTTCCAATTCTTGGTTCAGTGATTTCACAGCTGGTATCTTAAAATAAGCCACGGTGGGAACCTTTACACCATGGAAATTGGCACAAGCTACAAATCAGGCACTTATGCTTTCAGAGAGCTGGTTGTTAAAGCATTTACCAGCACGTCACTGGGCTGAGCTATGGACAGTCACAGAGACAAGTGGCTAAGAGGAAGCGTCAACATGGAATCAAGTCAGCCTCTTTGGAGGTTTGCAGGCTTCACAAGAACTGCAGGACGACAGAGGGGTTGTGAGATTCTGCGCAGCATCTGCCTATACACTTCTGCTACTTAACAGTACCAGGTATGATGCAGGTAAAAGACTTAACAGGTGAGCAAGCCAAATCTTTGAAGCTCTGTATATGGCAGTTGGCATCTTGCTGCAGAGACTGGACAAGAACGAGTTCCCCAGAAGAAGCAAGCTCATCCCAGTTGAAAGCCTCCACTTGGGTGTTCTTCAGGTGGCTGCTGCTATATGCCAGCTCGGGAAGGCAGGTGAGCAGGCGTGGGCCTGCGTGGCAGTGCCCTGCCAGGAGCATAGGAGCAGGCCTTATTTGCTTCCCTTCCCCCTTCTCAAGACTGATAGGAATCAAAGAGCCAACACAATTGAGGTCACTGGCAAGAGTTTGAAATTTTGAATGACTTTTATTAAACACCATTAGTCTACACTGCACAGTTAATGAAACAGCAAAGCTCCAATCTGATAGAAGAATGAGGATTGATCATGGATCTGAAAAGCAGTTCCGTGTCCCCTGACCCCACAAGTGCCCTCTGAATGATTTCTGTGACATCTCACATCAGAAGTAGAAAGGGGTGAGAACTGCAGCCTGACCTGGAGGGGCTGTCCCACCCTCCACCCACCCACCCCTAGCCCTCCCGCCACCCTCCCCACAATGCAATTTTCTTTCAGTTGATGGATTATAGAGAACAATGCGATGCTCTTGATAAAGAGGGCTTCTAGATTTGTGAGGAGAATGGAAAGAGAAGTAATGCTTTTATCTTTCCCCAAAAATATCCAAGGTGAGGATGACTGTCTGAGACTAGCCTCTGATTAGCCTCCTGCCAGGGTGAGTGCTGATTACCAAAGTGAAAATGAATCCAAGTTTAATTATGAGAATAAGGCTGTGCGGAAGTGAGAAACAACAACAACAAGGACGACGACGACAACAACAACAACAAATTTAGTCTGCCAGCTGCGTAACACAGAACCGACAACTGGCTCAGTATCTTCCCCCACAGAGCCGACCCTGGGGGCTTTGAATCGACCCATTCCTTGATATGTGTAGCCAGGTCACCTCGCTACCTGTTTTCTCGATGGGGCTAGTGATGTTCCTTGAAGCGAGCAGGTCACTGTCTTACTGAGCAATCCAACTCAGCGTTCCGGTTTGGGTCTCCCACCTGCCAACTCATGCAGGTGAACTTGATTGCGTCTGTTGAGAAGTACGTGGGGTTTCACCCTCACAGCTAAATCAATTCTGCCTTCAAAAATGCTTTCCAACGTCAAACTCCAACCTCAAATTTTGGGATACAAATTTGAGTAAAACAAAATTGGAATGAGATTGCTTCTGGAAAGATACGCTGAACAAGTGTCTTTCCAACGCAGCCCAAATCCAATGTGCTTAGTGACACCATGTCCAAACAAAAATCTGTCCATTTGCAAGTGCAACAGATCCCACGTAAGCCAAAGGTTTACAATTTCACAACTTGCTCATGAAGATTTGGGTCTTTTTCTTTCATCACATGGAGAAAAGGCATCCCGATCTCAAGTATTTCAAAAGTAGCAGCAGCTCATCTGCCTTTCCAATTATGTCATCCAAATATAAAGCTACTAGTACTTTCCCAATGAGATTATTACGTAATTAACAGTCTACAGGCTGGCTAACAACATGCTTACGGCTAAACTCTACCCTGAAGACCACACTAGTAAACTCTTTTCAAATTAATCCTACCTACCCAACTCAGACAGTAAAACGACAAAACCACGAAAAAAGCCAGAGGGAATTAAAAATACAAAGCCAAGCCAACATCATAACACAAATTCATCAGACTCTCTGTGTTGGAGCTTGGGTGACAAATGAAGGCATAGTGGTGACCCTGCCTGGGCCACGCTGCAGGGCTGAGATCTTGCTGTGTTCTTGCTTGGGTGTCGCTGACAATTTCTATGCCCATTAACCTCCCTCCATATGCTTATTACCACGGGTCTCACCAAACCTCCATCATGGTCTAGGGAGGAGCGAAGGGGCTTAACTTCAGAGACAGGATCTTGCCTTGACATTCACATGTCTCAAATCCCTCCCCCAAACTGGCACAGTGAAGAGGTTTACTAGACAAAACATCACCATCCCTTTAAGAGCTACATACCAGTGACACACATCACCATATCCAGTGCAACGGACGGAGTGTCTGGAAAACAGCAGCAAGTCTCCGTCATGAACCCAAGACCTCTCTGCCTCAGGGAGAAGATGCTAATTCATCCGCCATGTGCAAATGGTCTCTAAGCTGCTTTGAAAGTGAATTGACCAGATTGTTGTTGAGTGGTGATCCTGAGCTCGACTGTCAGACTTGGTCATCGTGCTGTGGACTGGACACACACACTTTGCATCCAGCCATCAGGGGGACATCAGCCTGCAGTGTGATTGGCTGCCTCCCTGTGGTGTGTCAAGTAGGTGTAACAGTTGGCTGAAACTAGAGTCACTAGAGCCTGGGGAAACTGTCCCTATCACTCTAAGTGTCTAGCTTCTGCAGATTGAATTTTAAGAAGGTTCTACTCCTAAATCCATGATGGTCTAGGATCCTGGTCTAAGTTGGACTTACAAGAAAGGCTAATGGGCTTCTTCAGATGCACTAGCCAGGAACTCTACCTGGTAAGCCATGTACAACAAAGAGAGAGCTTGAGTCACTGCAAAGCCATCAGCTTAATTTTGGTATGTAATACCAATGGATAGGAAAGAAATTATTTGGGTGTTCTTAGTCTTCAATATTGTTGTATTCCTCTCTTAAAGTCTCAGATAGGATTTCTTGTGAACTTGAGAGTTGTGTTTGTGTGTATGCAAATGGAGTGTTGTTGCTGAGGCTGCAAAAGTAAAGCTCAACCAGAATGGGAGATTCCCGTCAGCCATTTCAACAACATGGTCTCAGCTACTGGAGTATGAGTTTCATAACAAAAGGTTTCAAGCTCAAAGATGGCCAAGGGCAGAGCTCAAGTCTGGCTCTTATGCAATGGGGGAGATAGCTAACCTTGAACATGAGAGTGCAAAGTACTATTTGCTGTTCCTCTCACAGACCTGCATGACTTACTTGAAAAATCATACAAGTTTGCATCTTTCATGTGCATGTATCTATTATTTATCTGCTCATAACTTGGTGAACAGAATTCAAGAACTCAGCAGATTAAAGGCTATGTGGAATTATATACTGGCAGGTAATTACAATTACTGATGTCCAGGTAGTGTTTACTGCACATGGGGGATTCTTCTGATGAACTGGAAACACTGAAGATGGTATTTACATTGTGATGCTTAGGGTAGAGGGTCATAAGGGGTGGGGATAGTCACAATTGATGGGGAAATGCTGCCAAATTACGTGACTTGTTCACAATCTTCAGGGCTCTTTGAAAGTACCGCAAGGGGAAACTCTACCCTAAGATTAATTTTCTTTTTTTAAAAAAGGCTAGCTATGACTGAAAGAGTAGTTTTCTTTGGAATTTTCATGGAATTGTTTCATGCTGAAAGAGATTTTAATAGAATCAATGATTGTATTTCAGTCAAAACTTAATAAGCCAAGAAAGAAAAGAGGGAAAGAAGAAACCCTGTAAAGATTAAGAAACGTGTATAATAATTGGGAAGTCCAGATTTTAAAGCCATTAAGAAAATAATTGCTTATTACTTCTTTTAGGTAGTGATAATGTGAATTTCCTTTCCACTCATTTGAGCAAAGCCAAAGCAATACATCCCACCCATTACTAACCCACAGACTTTAGAAAGCAGAAGTGTGAACAAAGTTTTGTTAGGCATTTTCTAGGCCTCTCCTCTCTTCTGTCTCTAAGACTGGAAGGTAGCATTTTGGCTAGCAGACTGAGCAGCCTCTCAGCTGCTCCTCAAAATGAGAGTCTTACAGAAAAAAAATCCCAGGTGAGGATTTGTGCTTCACATAATGGAGTTCAAAACTGTATTTGCAAACTTAGCCCTTAGAGGTCAATGACGCTACTCTTTCTCATCATTAATTTTTTTAAAAAGAATGGAAAATCAAGGGATGCTAACAAAGAAGGCCTTGGTCTGTTGCACAGATGGCATCTTTGTCAGGAGTGACACTGCTATGCTCATTTATCCTCTTACTACCTTTGATTTCTGATGTTATCACAATATCTAGCCACTGCATTTTGACAATGGAAATTCTCACCTGAAGACTGAATCTGTGGGTAGCATAAAAGTTTAACAATGGATTCTGATAGTTCTTTTTCCGGACATAACTTTGGGGACAAGATAGAACAGAAACTTTGAATCTTTGCAGGTCCTTTGCATCTAAGTTCCATAGATGCACAAGACATCTAGTTTCCTTTATCAGAATTTGGTATCAGACGTGCTTTCCATTCTTTGGGTGGTGTGGACTTCAAACAACACTGGAGGGACTGTGTCATTCTTTAAAGCACAGAAGGCTAATGGGATCTCTGGAATGCATATAAAATACTGGAAAAGGGCTAAGTAATAAAGTTTACACTGCTCTCAAGTTGTAGTGCCCACTTAACAGTGATGTCTGTTTTCCCACAGATATCAAAAGAAGCATTGAAACAAACATAATCAAAGAGAACTTTCCCAAAGAAGTGGAGTTCCACCAGGGACCACTGAGGCGCTGGCAGAGGTAGAGCGATGACTGGTGATGTTAGAGATGGGGAGCACCCACTACAACAAGTGGGCATCGATGCGCAGCCAGCACAGTCCCTGGCGAACGTAGCGAACAAGATTGGTCATGCTGCTGTGCTGGGTCAGAGGCCCCATCAATGTGTCCAGGTCACCAAAGAATTCTGAAAATCAGAGCAGATGTCAGTCAAACTAGGGAATAAGTTCACAGACATCCTCATTGCCCAGGGGGCCTTCACACAACTGTACAACCACAAGGACATTGGGAAGGCTAAACATTTGCCCATCCATCCATCCATCCATCCATCCATCCATCCATCCATCCATCCATCCATCCAGTGAACACTTGCCGAGTTCCCTATGAGAAAACCAAAATTACCCTGCATTTAGCTATGAAAACTTAGCAGTATCAACATTACTTGCAGGTTACATAGTGATTACAAAAACATCAATTCAGTAAAATGTTCTGTAAATTCATAATAAGTGTTTCTGAAAATTGTTTCATCAGTGTCTATTTCCCCAGATACTGGACTCTAAAACACTGGACTATACAATTACAATCCTATGGAGGTTTATGGGGTGTATAGAAATCAATGTTATTGTTGGGTGTTGTCAAGTCAGTTTCAACTCACAGTGACCTTGCACAACAGAATGGACACCTCACGTGCACTGTCCACTATTGCATCAGTCTAACAACTGTTAATACATTTGAGCCCATGGTTGCTGTCATTGTGTTAATTCATCTCTTTGAGGGTCTTCCTCTTGCTCACCCTCTACCAAGCATAATGTCCTTCTTGGGATGTATCCATGCAGAGAGCTTGTCCAGAGTGTGTCAGACAAGATCTTGCCATCCTTACTTCTACGGGGCACGCCGGCCGTGCTACTTCCAAGACACTACAGCACTCAATATTCTTGGACCACAGGACATTTTTTTTACCAAGGCCAAAGGCCCAATTCTTCTGGTTTTTAAATTTTATTTTTAAAATTCATTTTCATGGAAGTTTACAGAGACTTAGGGTTTTCAGTCCTTCATTGTCGCACTTTTTCCCCTACCCACCTCCTCCCCCCATTCACTCTTCTCCTTGAAAAGAAAGAAAAACTCTTTCATTGCTATGCAATCCCTTCTCCCCAAGTCCACTCTACTATGCAGCCTTCACTCTGGACTCCTGTAATGACAAGAGTACCCATTCATGTATCCATTTTAAACAGTTCTCTCCCTCATCTGTTTCAATGTAGTATATATCATTCCTCCCCTCCTTTTCTGTCTTTCCTCAACCCTGATGTCAGTCCCGTTTTACAACAGTGGCACTATGCAGTATTTGTCCTTTTGTGACTGAGATATTTCACTCAGCATAATGTCCTCCAGGGTCACCCATTTTGAATAATATTGCATGAGTTCCTTGTCTTTCAATGCTGCATAGTGTTCCATTGTGTAAATACACCACAATACACACATTACATCCATTCGTTTGTTGATGGGCACTTAGGTTGTTTCCAGCTCTTTGTTATTGCGAACAAAGCCGCGATAAACACGGGTGTGCATCTCACATGACAATTTAAAAGCATTAATTATATTTCAGATTCCTTACTTGTTGTTTATGAATGAGGTAACAGAAAATGTTCTGTCTTGGATCAGAGCTGTCTTCATTCTCCAGGTGACATTTCGGCTTTTTAACACGTGAATGAGGCTCCCCCCCCATCAATGCCATTACATCGTCGACTGCTGCTTCCACAGGCATTGACCGTGGGTCCGAACCAAACGAATCCTTGGCAACATCAAGCTTTTCTCGTTTTCTCACAATGTTGCGTGTTGGTCCAGTTACAAGGGATTTTATTTTCTTTAAAGAGAGGTGTAATGCATACTGAAGACTGTATGGCCTTTACTCTTCGAATCCCTTATCCCTTTCAGTAGAAATGTTATTGTTAGGTGTGCTGAAGTCAGGCCCAGCCCTGCACCATCCTCACGATGCCCGCTGGGTTCAAGGCCACTGTTGCAGTTGCTGTGTCAACACATACTCTGGATCCCCTACATGACGTCCTATTCCAAGGACGAGGGTTTCCTGCTCACCGTCCTTGGCTACAAAGAAGACTCTGGCTCAGCTTCCTCCAAGACATATCTGTTTGTCCTTTCTGCAATCCAGGGTGTGCTCACTGCTCTTCACTACATAATTTAGAAGCACGAATTATTCAGCCTTCCTTATTATTTGTCCCCTTTCATACGCATATGAAGCAAATGAAAATACACGGCTTGGGTCAGGTGCCCCTTAACATTTAAAGCTACTTTTTGCTGTTTAGAACTTTAAAGAGGTGCTTGACAGCAAATTTGTCCAATGCAGTCCATATTCCATGGATGTTAATTGTGGATCCAAGTAAAATGAAATCCGTGACAACTGCAATTTCTACTCTATCTACTGTGGCACTGCCTGCTGATCCCATTTTGATTTTTGTTTTCTGAATGCTGATGTGCATTCTATACTGAAGGCTATATTGTTTGATCTTATTTGGTAAGTGTTTCAAGTCCTCTTCATTTTCAGCAAGGAAAGTTACATCATCTGCATAGCAGGCTATTGATGAGTCCTCCTCTAAGCATGGTGCCACATCCTAATTCATATAGGCCAGCTTCTTGTATACAGATTGACTAGTTATGTGAAAAGAATGCAACTCTGAGACATGCCTGTCCTGATTGTGAAACGTGCAGTAGCCCCCTGTTCTGGTCATACTACGGCTTGTTGATCTTGGTACAGGTTCTGCTTGAGCAAGATGAGTCAGTCTTAGTCAGGAAGCTTTGCCGAAGCCTGTCTGCCAAGGCTGACTGTGCTAGTACTTGCAATACCAGTGACATAGCTTCCAGTGTCCCAGTAGCATGCATGTCCCCACAGTATGGAAAACTCATAGATAAGTGGGGGATAAATTCTAGTATAGACAGGGAATGATATGGAAGTATGGGTCCCATAACCATGCCCCCTTTCTCTAGGACTATTATGGAGTTCTTAGGTGTGGAAGAGGCATCAAAGGGGTCCTATAGTAACTAATATGCTTGGAGTTTTAGAATATTTGTTTTGGAGGGTGTGGCTATGTGGAGCAAATCTATGTGACATAGAAAAACTAGCTAGATGCCATCTTTTATTTTTTCTTCTTCATTGTGTTGGTCTTGGCGTCAACTTAACTCCTTGCGAGGGATGTTGGGCATCGTCTTTGCTGACTCCCGACAGAGGGGGTGGCTCGGACGTGAGGAAATGACACCTCTGCTGGCTGGGAGTGAGGAAACTGGTTGACATGGGTTTGATTGCTCAGCAGATGGTATTTCACCAAACAACGCATTTATTCTTCATGCTATGTAGAACATATGGGGCCTTTCTCTAGGTATCAACTTCCTTTGATTTTGTGATACTTTTTAACCTGTACTAAGCAATAAAAACAATTTCTGCTGATAAAGGAGTAAATTAATTTTGGCGTCTAATATAGTTTCTCATGTAATATAGTATTATTAGTTATTGCTGAATGAATGAAAGCTACATGAGCAACCTTGTCCCTGGGAAATCTGTACAAAGCTCTCTGTGGCATTTCTAACTAGACACCCAGGTCAATGTCTTAATAATGGCTTCAGGTCAGCAGTGTAAGCAGCTTTGGAGCTTCTAGATTCAAGACCAGAGGGCATCACTGGGTCAACTGGACTTTTTAAAGCATCAAATCCTCTGCTGCTGTGAGGGTGGGCAGGCACGGGGATGGTTGCAGGAACTTTCCACGGGGAAGCCAACCTCCGCCACCTCCACGGCAAAACGGAGCAAGAAAGAGTTCAAGTACGAGGCAATCTGCAGTGGAATGCAGAGTACCAATCAGAAAAGAAGGTCATAGTTGTCCATTTCGAGGACAAGATAGATGTGGGGACAACCCTTAAATCTAAGTTGAACAGAAACAACAAACATGAGAAAAACAAGGCTGCAACTTGAAGATTCCAAACTCGGTTCACTCTCTAGTCCAGTGAAAAGCTCAACGACATCAGCAGGACTTGGTTTCTAGCTTCTGGTGGAGAGCCAGAGTTGTTTTGGTTCAATATGCAAATCCGACACACCATCTGATGGTAAGATTAGCACCACCTCAACATTATAGCGGCGTGGCCACTACTTTACTTTTGGGAAGTCCCATAGTTCATTTAGAAGGAATGTCTTGAACAGATTTTGAAAATGGGTGCAATTATGAAGGAAATCCATCTATACTAAGCTGCCCTCCAGTTACCAACACAACATAAGGGCAGAGAAAGGTGGAGGCAATTATGCCCAGCAAGTCTTAAAAAGCTTTATGTCTTCACTGGGAGTTCCTGAAGCCTTGCATGGATGAGGTTCTCCAGACCAGCTTTTTTTTCCAGACTTTTAGAAACCGAGAATAGCAGACAAGGTTTGCCCATTCCTCAGGTAATTGAGGGTGCAGTCTCACTGAAGGCCCATTATTAGGCATTGTTGCCTAACGGTTAAGAGAGTTCAGATTCTGGAATCAGGCTGATCGCTGTTTCTAATATTAACCTTCATTATCCCTTACACTCCGTGTGAGTTTCTTAAATCTCACTGAGCCTCACTTTGTTTCTATATAAAATATTTATCAATGAGGTGATAGATGGCAAAGGAACTAGTCCAGGGCTTGGAATGTAGCAGGTGTTTGTTTATGCTATCTGTGATCACAGAAATTGGTGCATAAACAGATGTAACTACTTCATGAAAATGACCTCAGGAGTCAGTGTTAGCTTATAGTTGGTTTGAAAAACAAAGTCTGAAATTAGAGAAAGTGTGCTGAATATTTTACATCAGGGGTTTTTATGTGCATTAACCCGTTTCTGTCTTCTTCCTAGGTAGGCTTCATCTTCGTTATACCACCAGACACATGGGAGCTCAGAGGTGACTTGGAGGGTTTCAGTAACTTGCCTAAGGTTGCTCAGTCAGTGCAGGACCTAGACAGGGTTCCAATGCGAACGAACAAGCTTCACCCTGTGCTCTTCACCCTGCATGCTCAGTGGAAACCGTTTATGTCCGAAAGGGCTGTACTGGGCAGCGAGGGGGAGGACTGGGAAAATGGCGGCCCATTCCATGACTGGGTCTGGGAGAGGACTTTCAGGGTCACAATGAAAGACTCGGGGAAAGTGCAGTTCATTTCGTTATCCCACCTTCTTCAGGACAGTGAGGCCGTCTCTGGAGCATATGTAGCCGCTGGAACCACAGACAACGGCTTGAGTTACTAAAGCCCCAGCCTTCCTCTCTGGGGAAGCAGGGCACTCTCTGCATTTCATTTGAAGTAAACACCACGCAAGGCTATAAACAGGACTCTGATCATTTGTCTCAGATGCTGGAGAAATACTAGGTGACTTTTGGCCCGTGCTACCAGGTGTAAGTCACATCATGATGTAATCAGTAGAGCTGGAGCCAGTACTTAAGAGTGAAGTTAGACTCTTGAGTTCAATCTTAGCTCTCAAAAAAGGAGCAGAGAGAGGGATGTAATGAAAGAATGAGGATAGAGCTAGTGGAGACATGAAAAGATGAGATGACAGTGGGCATATCAATGATGATTAAGTTTATAGAACATAGTGTAGCGGAATGATTGTATGAAACACAATGTGGATGAAAGGAATGTGTGAAATACAATGTATATGAAAGAAACCTAATTTATATGAATTTTGTACACAAACCAACGTAAACTTTTTAAAAAGGAACATCAGGGGAAAAAGATCAAAGTCGACATGAGAAGACCACAGGATCTTAATTAATTGGTAAATCTGCTCCTCTGTACTGATCTTAATTACTGAGTGGAACTCTGAGGTAGTTATCTGCTGACACATCACAGCTCCGACTCGTTCGAGTTCTACAGGAGAACAAACTCCCAGTCTTTACTGTCTCCGCAAAAACAGGTCACTGTGTGAGCCTGGAGTAAGGCTTCCCTACCTCCACCCGCCTTCACTCTTAATTCCTGGCAACCAGAGAGACAGAAAGACACGGTCGTCATGAAAGCCACGTTCCTCTAAACACAACTAACTCCATGGGGGTCTGAAAGCAATGGGCAGAGTAGGTGAACATACCTTTGTTCTCTCTTGTCAGTTTGTCGGCCATGTCCCAGTGTTCATAGCCTCTCAGCACGTTGCTAGTGATGTTGACATGGCTGGCTGCCATGTGGTGGATGCGCTGGGGAATGGTGACTGGGCCATTGTTACAGTTCCCCATTGGGTTGATGGGAGAGACGTTATTGAGAGACACTGGAGATGGGGTATTCCTGGGGAAAGGGAAGAGAGGAACCATATTAGGCTGGCAGGGAAGAGTGGAGGCCTCGTCTGAGGCCTCTCTGCCACAGTGCTGGGATTTCAGCAGAGTACCATTTGTCAGAGTAATGGTTAGCATGTGTACATGCATGAAGCCACTGTGGAGCAAGGCTTGTTCCCTGATCTCCTTGACTCGTCCTGGAGGAGGACATCCCAGAGCTGTTCTCACCACAACAACTTTCTCCAGTGGCTCCAGTGACGATGCCCACCCATACTAGCCTCGCCCGACCAACCTACATAGACCTCCAAGGCTAAAAACTGTAGTGAGATTCCTATAGCTTTCCTTGGAGGAAATGCTTAGAGAGAGTCGACCTGGTTTAGCCTGGTTCTCCTCTCTCCTTTCCTAACATTAAATGCAGACACTCTCATTGTCTTTAACGACTACTGATGTGTCTCAGTACAACGCCCCTTGAGTTGGAAAATACCAGAGCCGGTTTGGTGGCTCTTTGTTTGGGATGAATTCTACCCCAACATGCAACTCTTTGCTTTAGGTGTGAAAAACAAATGTTGCAATGCTTTAAAGAAACAGCCCAGAGCCAGTGCTACCTGTTACCAGATGGTACTTGGCAATCAGAAAGCACGAGATGGGCAATCTTGGTCTATTACCAACATGTGCTGTGGAGAACCACAATGACAGCGCGCTCCAAATGCAGTCAGTACAGAAAGCACTCAATTAGCAGAGTCAGGGATTCAGTCTGTCTTTAGGATTCTGTCAAGACATATTGCCAGCATGGACGGGTAATTGCATATTGGTTTACCAAGCTGTCTTCAGAGTCCTAGCATTGGGTCAGGGTTTCCAAGCCTGTGATCTGCCTTTGGAGTTCAAGGACTGTTTCTCAGTCAGCTCCGAGTCCCCAGCACCTGAATGAACAGATGTTGCTCCAGGGGAGACTACTTTGAGTCTCTTTCAAAAGTTCTAGGCTCTACCAAAGGGAAAGCAGCTGCTTTAAAAAGAAGAAGAAGGATAGGAGGCTTTGAATGTGACTTCACGAGCTTTAGGATGCTCTTGAGTTCCTTTGTTTCAAGATTTTTAAAAAAGAAGCTAAACTCTTTTAAGGGCAACTTGCCTGGCTTTCCCCTTCCTTTACTCTGTACTTCTTTGGGCCTTTTGGTGGAGATTTTTATTTCCTGAACTTTCTGAGAGACTCACTCTGTCTTTTTGTTTCTCAATGTAAGAGTCTGACCAATTCAACAATGTAAACGGTAGTTCCTTTGATACAGAACTTGAGTGAATGCACCTTTCTGAGGCCTCCATTCCCTCGGTTTTGCGGATCTCAGTATAGGATCCACTGCCACCCCACACTCCTGAAGGCTGCTTGACACATGTTTATAAAGTGGCAATGGAGACTGCACTGGTCGCGAAGAAAGTGTGTGGATTAGTGATGCAGAATTTTGAAATGAAGAGGAATTGAGTAGGCAGCTCCAAGTTGGGAAACCACTTCTTTCGACCCCCATTTTGCTGCTTCTCCTACTTCCTGTGGGAAGTGGCCCCGGATTGCCCACTGGGGTGCTACTGGAGCCAGGAGTGGGGCAGGGGACTGAAGGTTTGCAAAGGTGTGTGGCACGTTCCTGGAAAAGGCAGAGCTGGGTTCACTCTGGAAGCTCTCACTCCTCAGATGGCCCTCAGAGGCACTGGGGCCAGCCTTTCCCCATCACAGCCTGAGAGACCAAACCAGAGCGGGAAGCAGGCTCACTGTGCTGCACCGCTAACCGCAAGGTGGTCCTCGTCTGGTGGTTCAAGTTCGCCGCTGCCCCACAGGAGAAGGATGGGCAATCTCCTCTCACACAGTTGGAAACCTCGGAAAACCTGCTAGGGAGTCAGCTCAGCTCCGAGCTGGTTCCCACTAACAGAAGGATTTCTGGTGGCACTGTGGATGAGGTGTTCAACTGCTAAGTGAAAGGTCGTAGGTTCGAACCCACCAGCTGCCCCATATGGGAGCAGGATGAGGCAGTTGACTATTATAAAGACGACAGGGTAGTAATCCGTGTGGGGCAGATCTCGAAGGGTCAGAATCAACCGAGCCGCCGTGGGGTGCTTGGGGAGTCAGCGAGGGGCTTGGGAGTTCGATCAGCTCCAGTCTCTTGTGAGAGTCACTGTCTCAGTCCTTCTTACTGAGGGCCTTCCTCTCTTTCTCTGTCCTCTACCTGTCCCCACATGATGTCCTTTTCCAGGGACTGGTCCCTCCGGACTTGCCCAAAGCACCTGAGAGCAAGCTGCACCATCCCGGCCTCCTCCAAATCAGGCCGCTCAGAGGCGGTGGTTCCCTCACACCTCCGGCCAGCAGAGATAACGCTTTATATTTCAGGTCAGGCTATTTTAGTATTAATATAAAAATCATCATGAAGGCCCCGATAATTGGCTGACTAAGTGCCTTCACATTTCCAGAACTATTATGCCTTGGGTTTTATTAAACAGCACTTACCATATATCAATGAATATTTCATCACTGAGTGAATCATTGAAAATCCACCGCAGCGGAGGTGAACTCGCCGGCCTCGCTCAAATGGGACAGCACTTGCCATCTCATTAACAGCCTCTTTATGGCCCTCCTTTGCCTTAAAGCTCAAATGGCTGAGGACTTGGGTATTGTGTGGTGTTTTAACTTCCCTGGCTTGGCCATTAACTGAAAGCTGCCTGGCATTTCCCCCACACACAAAGAAACAACTTCCATTCACTCCCTCATTGCCAGTGCAAAATATTTGGGGTCCACTCAGTCCCCCATTGTTAAGAAAAAGCAATTTCCCTAAGATACTTACTTTCCATTGCCGACCCACGGAGATGGTATTTGAGCGACTTTTGAAGCATTTTGCTAAAAGAGACAGAGAGAGGGAGAGCGAGATAAGGACATCTATTTTGTGTTTTATTAATTCAGAAACAGATGCAAGTGTGATTTGGAGCACATTAATATTGATGGCAGCGTTTCGGGAGGCCTCTGTTCCGCTGGCAGTGCCGGGCTGGATGAGTGCGTCACACCCGACACACTCGAGGAAAATAGCTGCTTAGGGTAATGAGTGGGCTCCAATCAGCACCGTGAAAGTCACTTGATGAAAGATCTTATCTACGAAAAGGCCCAGTGAAATCAGCCTCAGTTCTCCGAGAAGTGCTTTAATTATCCTCATCTGAAATTTATTCTGCAAAACAAGCTCTTCAGAGAGCGGGAGCTTTGTCACCTTTAGCTCAGGCGGCAAACTTTCCCTGGGATGGGGGAGTGGGTGGGGACTGGGGCTTCTGAGGTCGCAGGGCTGTAGCAAGACATAGTGCCATTTGGGGTTGGTGTGTTTATTTGTAATGGGGAGAGGAGTCCTTGCTGAGACTCTCCTTTCCTCTAGAGAACCAGGGCCTCCCACATCTCTGTGGCCACACCTGAGGAGTACAGGGCAACTTAAAATTTGGCACCACTAAAAGGGCCTCCCCAGGGAGAGAAGTAGAGCAATGAATGAATGGAAATCCAAATTCTCTGTAAATGTTCATTAAAATTATTAAAAAATAAAATATATTGAAAAAGGTCCTCCCCAGCTTCTGCTTCTTCTCCTGTCTCCTGGGTCTCAGCCCAGCACAGTTTGCAAACACATCTCTGGAGCCCCAGAACTGTGATCTGCAGACTCCAGGACCCAACTTGCAAGCGAGTTCCTCAACACCTGCTTGGTGTGCAGTGCCCTGGAAGCTGCGCAGGACCAAGGAGGGGGCAGTGGCTCTCCGGAGCGATCACAGGCCAGCAGCCTCAGCGTCACCTGGGGAGCTGCTAAAAATGCAAATTCTCAGGCTCCAACCCAGACCTGCAGACTCAGGTCCTCTGGGGCATAGCCCAGCCCTTTGTGTTTCCGGAGCCCTTCTGGGGATTCTGATGCACCCTCAATTTGGAGAACCACCTTGCTAGAGCAGCAACAGAGAGTGAAGACGTGAACGGGGCAGCTGACCACTACAGAGGTATCACGAACACCCTCCATGATGGCTGGGTACAGCCCACCCCCAGTGTCCGCATTCATACAGCTGCTGGATGGAAGGTCCTGATTTAATTTCAAGCAACTGCTCTTGTGCAGTTTAGCCAAGAGGTCTCATGAATTTGGGGAGAATAAACTCTTCTAAGACCCATGGCCACAACTACAAAGCCCCACGGGGTCCCTCACGCACACACGCACGAAGGATAAAAGGCTGAGTCCTCAGGTTATAATGCACAGGAAGCCGCCTTTGGGGCAGTCTGCAAAATAATCCGGTAACGATCAAGCCAGGGAGCTCTGGGGGCCTAGTAGTAAAAACTGCATTGCAATCTGAAGGCACGCAGTTCAAATCCACCAGCTGCTCCGCGGAAGAAGGATGGGCAATCTCCTTCCGTGCTATTAACAGCTTCTGAAAACCCGGGGACGATGAAGCCAGGGCACCAGATCAAACAAGTAACCTGCCTGTGGAGTCCTGAAGGAGAGCTGAGACAGCCACAGCTGGCCAGATGAAGGAGTTAAGCCGTTGGATCAGTAACGTTGCCTTTGTTAGTTGGTAATTTCCCCCAAATTGTGGTACAATGCCTTTGTCATTGCCACTATTTTTTCCATGGACAAACTCAGAGGTATCAATTACACCCTCACTACAATGTATAAGCATCACCATTATTCATTTCCAAAATTTCCCATTGCTCTTAACAGAAGTTCGATACCTCTTAAGCAATAATTCATATCCCCAATCCCATCCACTAATAAGCTTTGGTCTCTATGCATTCAGTCAACTGATAGTTTATAACAGCATTATGATGCCTCAGCACCCATTCACCCACCCTCTACTTCTCAAGGTAAGAAACTCAGGATTACCTTAAAATACTCCATCAGTGACCTGGAGTACTTCATAGCATGGTCCTTCTTCAATTTGAACATTCTCAAGTAAAGAAGTGACAAACAGCGGTAGCTGTGGCAACGAGGAAGGGATTATGTTAATGACAGCGCTTAATGAAACCTATAAACTGCACTAGCAAATGCTGGCATGTATTTTGCAGTGACTGTCCTGAGATAGACTGAGAAACATATGTATATGAAAAAAAAATCATAATAAAAAATAAAAAGAGAAGGGGGCAGTCCTCCAATCCATCTTGAGAAATCCATTAGTTACCCTTTAATAGTTTAAAGGAAAACACAAATACTGATCTGGGGTAAGCAGCTTAAGTGGAGCTAGAGTTTTCCAATCCTTCTGCCACATCTCAGCCGCTTCCTCACGGCCTCCACGGCACTCACCATAATACTGCCAGCTTTTTGTCCCCATGTGAAGCCAAGGGGCTGGCAAAGTTCTTCAGCCTCATCGCATACCTTTAAAGAGAAAGCAGAAGCTAAAGTGGGGATTTGTATTATCCGGCAGAAATTCCCAGAGGGTTTTACATTCCATTTCTCTGAAGTTTGCTCTTGGTGAGAAGACTGACTTAAAGCGTGTGGGCAAAAGCCTGATTTCCTGAAAATACACAAAATAGTCAAAACTGCAGCACAATAATGCTTAGGTGCCATGCATGATGCAGTCCTGGGTTGATACTGTGGGATTACTGGGGTTTTGTGTGTATAATGCTTATAAATGACTGTTTCTAGTACACCCCAGTTAAACAACATTAGTCTTTTTCAATGAGAGGTGGACAAAACTGTCAGACTCACTTTCACCTATGACACATGAGACAATAACATACACCTCCGGTTGACATGAACACAGGAGACCGCAATCACCTAGGAAAGAGGCCTGCTCTAATGGTGCAGGTTTTTAATATATTCCTATAGAAAGTGGTTTTGTTTGCTTAAAAAAGAAGGTCAATTTCACAGCACTTTGAGGTCTAAGTGCCCTTAATATGTGGTGCTTGTATATTTTGTCTTTCTATTCTCCTTAATTGTCACTTTTCCACACTGCGATGATAAAAGGTTGAGTCTTTTCCATTTTTCCTCCCTACTAACTGAGCACATCCCATTCTGGGTGTTTAGGCTCTTGAAAATCAATTCATTGCATAAAATCATTGTCTAAGCTTTAATGCAATTTCACAGGTACTTGCGGTAGAATAAGTAATGGGGTTCAGTGTTGCATAAGGAAGTTTAAAGTGTGCAGGCAGGCAAGGCAGCCTGGGTGCCTTCTCATTTACAAGAAGGCGAGGTCGAGCCAGTGAAGAGCCACAGGGACACCGGGCTGGCACTGGGCCTCCTCATTTCCAGCAGCCTCTCCCACAGAGGCCCTCATTTCCCAGGCTCACCACCTAAGACTGGGCCTCCTCAGAATCCTACCACCCTGCTGTCCTCCTTTGGGCTTCAGTTCTGTCGAGTGACCATTTTAAAACAAAAGAACACGTGCCCTCGATGTGAGTCCCTTCTGTTGTTGCGATATTAAGGAAAGGGATTTTTATTATGCAATAAATCCAACTTTCTCTGACAGCTGGATCACTGAAATGTCAAGTCATTGTGATGGCCCGCTTGTTTTCACAAATACATTTCTACCGCAGATTCCCAAGGCTCCAAGGGCTATAATTACTTGAATGAAGAAAATAGGACGCTCTCGCTGTAGCCAGCACTCTGTCGGGGAGAGTAATAAAGCTCTCTTCAACATAATATCGCACTACTAAAACTATGTCCCATTACAGTCAGCCTCTAATTACAGCCACATTCCTTGTGACTTGATAGTGAGGCTTCCATTGCTTAAACAGACCAGAAGACTTAGTGGCTTTCACTCATTTTGTTCCTATCTGAAATATCTCTCATTAAAAAGAATTATATACACTTTCTAGAATTTTTTTTTTAAGTTTGGAAAAAGGGGAGCTGGGCAATCGAAAAGAGGCAAGTGGACTGTCCCCGAGTCATTGTCCTGGCTGTAATGATGAGGCAGTTAGACAAGATGGTATCACTGGGGGAGACTGAATGAGGGCAAGTCAGTCAGTTCCCTCTGGATTATAAGGAAGCGCTGGTGGCTTAGTGGTAAGGAGCTGTGCTGCCAACCTAAAGGCACGTGGTTTGAATCTCCCAGTTGCTCCACAGGACAAAGATGGGCAGTCTCCTCCCACGCAGTTTACTGCCTCTGAAAACCTGCTGGAGGATCAGCTGAGTTGATTCCAACATGACGTTACACAGCAACAACAACCATCTCCTCCACACCAAAAGTTAAAATTTTATTGACTTTAAAGTAAATGTCCATAAATTCTCCTTTGAATTCTACCAAATTCCACTGAGGTAATTCTATAATGAACTCTTCATATAATGAAAAGAAACTCATGCTAGAAAAAGGAAGGTTTTTGCAAACAAAAGAAACAGGTGTCTTTTAATAGAAAGAAATGACTTCTTTTTTTTATTATTTATTTTTTATTTTTTTTACAGAGGTTTTGGATTTCCATTCATTCATTGCCGCAATTTTCTCCCTGCCCACCCCTCCCTACCAGCTCGCATCCCCCTCCGAAGAGAGAAAAAAAAAAGGGGGAAAAATTCCTTCGTTAGTATACAGTTCCCACGTCCCTTCCCCCCACCCCCCACCCCGAGTACACTTCTCTATGCAACCTTAATTCTGGACTCCTGTGCTAACCATAATAATCATATATCACTCCTAATCTGTTCTTTCCCTGACTTCTTAATTGTAGTCTTCTGATAAAATGTCAATTGTTTTCTTGCTTTTATATTTTAAGTCTATATTTTCATAAAGTGAACGTTTGCACTCTTCTTGGATGATACCCTTGATATGCTCCCACAACTCATCTGGTCTTTGCTCATTCATGTTCAAATCAAGGCCTCAAGCCTGTTCCTGAGATGGTTCTGAAATTCAGGCGGGATAGACTCAAAGTCATATTTTGGCTCCTGTGGATTTGGGTTAATTTTCCTCAGCTTCAGCTTGAACTTGCATATGAGAAGTTGGTGGTCTGTTCCACAATCAGCTCTGGGCCTAGTTTTCACAGCTGATATTGAGCTTCTCCAGTGGTTCCTTCCGCAGATGTAATCAATCTGATTCCTATGCATACCATCAGGTGAAATCCATGTGTCTAATCTGCGTTTATGTCTCTTAAAAATGTGTTTGCAATGAGTAAGCCATTGATTGTGCAAAATCCAGCTCCATTTCTGTCTCCAAGTCCATATTCTCCGACTACTGATTCTTCTTCTCTGTTCCCAACTTTTGCATTCCGGTCACCCACTATTACCAATGCACCTTGATTGCATGTTCGATCAGTCTCTGACTGTAAAAGTTGGTAGAAATCTTTTATTTCCTCTTCTTTGGCTCTGGTTGTTGGGGCATATATCTGAATGATAGTGGTGTTCACTGGACTTCCTTGTATGCGAATGGATATTATCTTGTCACTCACAATACTGTACTTCAAGATGGATCTAGAAATGGCTTTTCTAACAAACGTTCACCACAAAGAAGAGGAAGAAAAGACCAAAATGGATGTCGGAAGAAACTCTGAAGATTGCACTGGTGCGCAGAGAAGCGAAAGCACAAGGAAGAATTCAAGATACTAAAGAGCTGAACAGAAGATTTCAAAATGCAGCGCAGAATGACAAAGTAAAGTATTACAAGGAAATGTGCAAGGAGCTAGAGTCAGAAAACCAAAAGGGTCGAGCTTTCTCAGCATTTCTTAAGCTCAAGGAACTGAAGAACAAATTCAAAACTTGAGTTGCTATAATCAAAGATGCTTTAGGCAGAGTATTAAATGATCCAGGAAGTATCAAAAGAAGATGGAAAGAATATACTGAGTCATTGTATCAAAAGGAATTGGCAGACACAGAAAAAATTCATGAAACAACATATGAGCAAGAGCCTATGGTGAAGAAGGAAGAAGTTCAAGCTGATTTGAAGCAAAAAATAAGGCCCCAGGAATAGATGGTATACCAAGTGACATATTTTAGCTAACGGATGCTGCCCTGGATGTGCTCACCAAGTTGTGCCAAAAAATCTGGAGAACAACCACTTGGCCAACTGACTGGAAGAGATCTATATTTGTTCCCATTCCAAAGAAAGGTGACCCAACAGAGTGTGGAAACTATAGAACAAGATCGTTGATTTCACATGCAAGCAAGATTCTGCTGAAGATTATCCAAAAACGACTGAAACAGCACACCAGCAGAACTGCCAGAAGTCCAGGCTGGGTTTAGAAGGGGTCATGGTACTAGGGATATTGTAGCTAATGTTAGATGGATATTGGCGGAAAGCAGGGAGTACCAGAGGAATGTCTATCTGTGCTTCATTGATTATGCAAAGGCATTTAACCGTGTGGACCATAGCAAACTGTGGCTGTCTCTGAGAAGAATGGGAATACCAGAACACATGATCTTGCTAATGCAAAACCTATACTTGGACCAAGAGGCAGTCATCAGAACAGAGCAAGGAAACGCCGCATGGTTCAAAATTAGGAAGGGTGTATGCCAGGGATGTGTCCTGTCTCCGTACCTTTTCAACCTGTATGCAGAGCAGATCATCTGGGAGGCTGGACTCTATGAGGAGAAATGTGGCATCAGGATTGGTGGAAGATCTATCAACAGTCTGCATTATGCAGATGACACAACCCTGCTTGCTGAAACTGAGGAGGACCTGAAGCACCTGCTGCAGAGTGTCAAGGACTGCAGCCTCCAATATGTATTGAGGCTCAATGTCAAGAAGACAAAGATTCTCACCACTGGACCAATTGGCAGCATCAGGATGGATGGTGAAGAGATTGAGATTGTTCACAGCTTAGTTTGCTTGGCTCCACAATCAACACTCTTGGCACCAGCAGCCAGGAAATGAAAAGGCGTATTGCAATGGGCAAGTCTGCTGTTAGGGACCTCTCTAAAGTACTGAAGAGCAACGGTGTGTCTCTGGAGACTAAGGTGCGTCTGGTACAGGCCATGGTCTTTGCAATCACTTGTTATGAATCAGAGAGCTGGACAATGACCAGGGAGGAAAGAAGGAGAATTCATGCTTTTGAGCTTTGGTGTTGGAGAAGAGTGCTGAGGGTACCATAGACTGCTAAGAAAACAAACAGATTCATCCTGGAGAGGGTTAAACAGGGCTGCTGCTTGGAGGCAAGGATTCTGAGACATCGTCTGACATACTTTGGTCATGTTGTAAGGAGGGCCCAGTCCTTCGAGAGGGACATCATGCTTGGGAGGGTGGAGGGCAGGCGCAGGAGGGGAAGGCCCTCTGGGAGGTGGATTGATTCGGTGACTGGGGTAATCGGGATGAGTGTGTTGGAGACAGTGAGACTGGCACGGGACATAGCAGAGTTTAGAGCTGTTGTACATAGGGTCGCTATGAGTCACAAGCGACTCGATGGCACATAACAACAACAAACAACATTTTCATAAAATAAAATTATTGTGAAAGGAAAAAAGTAAGGAAAGGGGGAAACAACAATTATCTTGCAGCTGTTCCACGGAAGAAAGGTCTGGCAATTTGTGTCGTTATGGGTCAGAATTTACTCTTCACAGTGGGTTTGAGGGTTTTGGTTATGCCAGGCAGGTGGGCTCTCATTTGTCCTCCACTTCAGCCCAGATGTGCACACATACTTTTTACAGCCGTAACAGTATACGATTCTGCAGCTCACTTTCACTTTAACATTACATAATAGGCCCAGGGAGTTGCATCATGTGCATAACTGTTGCATTTCAATGGCTGAAAAGGATTCTGTTGAGTGCACTACTATGTAATGAATTCACTCTTCTACTCTGGATTGTTCTATTTGCTTCTAATTGTTTGCTATTATAAACAATGCCAAAGTGAACCCCAGATAGCTTGTATTACTTTTTCAATTCTTTCCTTTAGTAGAAAAGATTCAAATTTCATGAGGCTGAAGTATCAGATCAAGTGACACGAATGTGTATGTGTACGTTTCCTACAACTGACAGGGTTGGTTTGACACTCAGCAGCAGGTTACGGATGGACTAGTCACTGCTCCTCCCCACCCTCTCTTTTTCTTTCTTTGCTAGCACTGGATATTACCATTTTAAAACCACCTCCTTAGTTTAAAGGGAGTGCCTTTTTAAAGTTTGCTATTTTGAATGATGAGACAAGATGACTTTTGTCCACGCTTGTTTACCAATCTCTCCCCTCAATTTTGAATCTTTGCAATTTCTGTCAGTATTTCCATCTTTTATCTGCATCTTTGAAAACCACAGGTCAACTTGAAAAGACACTGAAAAATCAATCTTGCCTGAAGAGGTGGAGAATGATGGTACGAGGAGCTTCCTCTGAGTAGGAAAGAAGTAGGGGTGCACTCCTCTCCGGGGGCCAGTTCTCAGAGCAGCACTATCTAGAAGATGAGAGACTGGCCTGGAAGCCAAGACTGGGCTTTCCTGAATCATTTCCCTCCTTCAGTTACCTTAACTGAATCTCTTGATCTTAAATAAACAGAGTTTCCTTTAGTTTTTATTTTCATTATTCTTGCTCTTTTGATATTTTAGGAAAAAAAATATATATGCTAAACTTGTCCAATGTGTGTATTGGACTAATATTTCAGTATTAGTCTCTCCAGAGTCCACAGAATTGACGAAGGAACAAGCAGCAGAGAAAAAGTCAGACCTGCTATTCCAGGTGACGACTTTCCGGTTAAAAGAACTGCTCACACCCTCAAAAGCAGTTATTGTGTCCATGTGGACAAAGAGAGCACTTAGCGCTTATCCACCAGCTAGGAGTGGATCAAAGGATGTGGGGTTTTTAACCTTGCCAACTTTTTTCTGTAGATAAAATTTTTTAAATTGTGATTTTGATGAAAGTTTACAGAAAAGTTAGATTTTCATTCATTCTTTGTTGCACATGTTGCCCCCTCTCCCTCCTGTCCCCATGTCCAGTTCACTGTTTTAAAAATATTCATTCTTTATTGCGCAATTACCTCCGTCGTCCCACTCCCCCCAGTCCTCTTTGTAGTGTACCTCTCATTCTGGGCTGTTGACGTACGTATAGTTCTTAATAATATATTCATTTTAAACAGTTCTTTCCTTCATCTGTTCCAATGCAATGTTCATTATCTATCCACTCTTATCCTATTGTGCTCCCAACCTTCCCCCATGTTAGACCTGCATTATAACAGTAATGCTAAGCAGTCAGTATTTGTCCTTTAGTGACTGAGATATTTCACTCAGCATAATGGCCTCCAGAGTCACCCATGTTGTGTAATGTTTTATGAGTTCATTGTTTTTCAGTGCTGCATAGTAGTCCACTATAGGAATATACCATAGTTTTTCTATCCCTTTGTATGTGATGGGTGATTAAATGATTTTACAAATCTCTACAGATTACTGGGAAACACCACAAAAGGCATTTCTTTCACTCCTTCCCTCCTCCTCCTTCTTCAGAAAATTGTGGATTTACTCAGCAATTCTCCACCAAGACCAACAGGCCAGAAAATTCCATTTAAAATGTACATGAAACCAATTAGTTCATATGCGGTTCCTAGACCATCTCCTATTTTCACCCTGTCGGCTCTGCCCCTGCAATCACCTGCCCTCCGTTCTTTGTTTCCTGCAAATTCCAGATACATAAGAAATGAACTCCACAACTGGGCCCTTAAATGCTGCCTTCAAGTCGCTACAAACCCTCCTCCTGTTTAAATAACTGAGGAAGGAATTCTTAGAAACCCTGGTTTAGAATAGCACACCTCGTTCCACCAAATTCTAAAATGGCACCTGTGCAAAGACAAGTGTCAATTCCAAACAGTGAAATTATTCCACTTCCACCCACTCTGTGTTCAATTTGAATTTTAAGAATATTGCAAATTATAGCACTCACATTATCACCTCTGAAGGGGATAATTTATAAAAGCAGTGTCCATCAATTATAAATTTTCCATGACATTAATAAAATGGCAAGAACTAATTATGATGGCTCCTAAGAAGAAGATGCCTTGGACAAATCATTAATATGTTGAAATGATATTTTTTCAAACAGAGCAGGCTCTAATTACAACTGAAATGAGCGTGGGAAGGCGATGGCAGAGAGTTTCATTCACCTGAGCAGCTCCACGGTTTCGGAGTACATGGTGTACGGAGACTTCGCTTCGAGGGGATCGCGCTCCATGGCGTTGCCACATTCCGTGAAGGAGAGGGCTGCATCGGCATAATTGACCGCCTTGCCAAATTTCTCAAACTGAAAGAGAGAAAGCCTTATCAGCATGATATTTCCTCGTTTCCTCCTTACAGAGGAGTCACGCTCACTGGGGAGACAGTTCGCTCCCCAGTAAACTTCTGGCAAGGCCTGAAGAGATTTTTGATGCCCACAACTGCTATGTATGTGTGTAGGGTGTCCTATAGGTATCTAGTCGGTCGAGCCTAAAGATGCTACTCATCCTATAACGTTCAGGTCAGCTCCACAAGAAATGCTACTCCATCCAAACGATTGCAAAACCCTGCTAGCAAGAGACAACATCGTATACATAATGTATGGAGAATTGTAGACATAGTGAAAGAACTGAGTGGATGTTCTTTTGTTAGCACAAGGAGTCTGGGGGAGAAGAGAAAAACACAGCAGCCAAGGTATGTGGAGTGGCAGGTGATATCACTGTTGCTGGTATCAGTACACTGAATGGACGAGAACCCAAAGCACTGAGTTCACTAACCTGACTAGGCCTTGTGATTTCCTGCACACAAAACTATAGGCATTGGGCACGTCAGCTGTCAAGGACCTCTTTAAAGTGCTAGCAAGCAAGGATGTCAGTGGAAAGATTAAGATGCTCCTGAACCAAGCCAAGGCATTTTCCAACTGCTTCATTTTCTTCTGAAAGTTAGACAATGAATAAAGCTGCCAGAGGAAGAATCCGTGCCTTTGAACTCCTCTGGTGCTGGGAAGAGTGGTGAATTGCCATGGACTGCTAAAATAACAAACAAGTCGGTCTTAGAGAAAGTGCAACCAGGGTGTTCTTTAAAAGCAAGGATGGTGAAACTTGGTCTCACAGACTTTTGTTATCAGGAGGGGAACAGTCCTTGGGAAAAGATGAGGGCGAGCAAAGGAAGATCCTCAAAGAAGTGCATTGACATAGTGACTGAAATAATGGGCTTGTCCAAAATAGAGACTGAGAGAAGAGTAAAGGATCCAGCAGGGTTTTATTCTGTGGCATATAAGGAGCTATGACTTAGAACTGAATCAAAGACACCCACCCACAGTATAGCGTTTGTGCCTAGCTCTGCCTTTTCAGCCTTGAGGTGCTGAACACAGGCAATGCTGGCTTTCAAGCTCTTTGTGAGTCTATCTACCCTCCCTCCAGGAGGAGAGGCACACACTGATGCTGTTGTCAGGAAAAATGTGAAGCCATCCTAGGACTGTTGACAACAGTCCTAGCACTCTCACTGTAAATGATGGTCTGAAACAGTGTGTCAAAAAGCCAAAAAATATAGCACCACTAAATATTTTAGTTTAGTAAAATTTTATTGTAAAAGGTTTTAGTCCTGATAATGGTCATGATTGAACTGACTAAGACATACTGATTTCTTTTTTATGTGTAATGAATATTATATATGACACTTTTATAGTGCGTATTTTATAACAGTATTTAACATTTTCCATTTTTGATGGCTGGTTGTAAGAGTCCCACTAATATGGAATGCTCTGCAAAAGGACCAACATAATACAGATTTAGCTATTTTAATTTCCTTGTATACCTTTCATCAAAATATTTTCTATGCAACTACAAAGGCTTCAATTTTCAAAATGGCAGAGTAGCTGTCTCTAGCAAAGGATTAAGTGCAACTATAAAATGATGTGTTACAGGCCCTGCACAATCTCTTGTAATGACTCTCTTTACAATAAACGTGTTTCGGTTTTTATGTACTGCAGGAGCTCTGTGGTTCCCTTTCTGTAAGGTGCGGTGAGAAAATAGTGGTGTCAATGCAATTCAAAAGATTTCATGGAAACGCGCATGCATGCACGTTTGTGCGTGTGTGTGTGTGTGTGTGTGTGTGTAAATGATCTCCTTCCTATCTGGCCTCCCAAGATCACTTTATTTGTAGGTACATCAGGCTTTGATTGGCTCTCTCGTGCTGTTCATTAACGCATAGCTGGAAAATCAAAGCCCACTGCCCCTCCGCTGGTTCTGACCCTCCACTGGGCTTCTGAAGCCTTCCATCAAGTGCCCTTCTTTCTCTCCAGGAGTCACTGGTAGATTTGAACCTCCAGGGGTCGCCACCAGAGCTCCCTCAGTACTAACTAATGATGCTAACACTAGCCCATAGTTCCCTTTTGCTCTGTTCCCTCTTTGCAAAAGCCTCATTGCAACCCGACTGCAGCAAACCATTTTTCCTTAAGAAAATGCATACAAAAGAAATATGCCCTATACATGCTGTCTGTACTTTAATTCTTTTTCAACACTTATAAAAAGAGGTGGTTGAATTATATTAAAAGAAGCCTTCCAGCTCCAAGGTCGCTATGAGTGGAAGTCGCCTTGACAACAGTGAGTAGGTTCTAGTGGTGGTATCGATGGAGGCTGAGTAAAACTGCCATTCTTCTAAATGAGTGCACTTTGGTACTCAGTGCATACTAAGGATCTCTTGATGTACCTTGGCCCTTTAGAGGGTCGCAGATCATTTTCATATCTAAGGGGTTTGCTCCTCAGCCATTTCCCAAGAATCCCTTTTCACCCCCATGAAGTGAGGCAGTATCTCTCACTGCTAATGACTGTTCTAAATGGATTACATCAAAGTGATTTGGGGTCACATATAAACAGCACTCTGGATGGTAGAGTGATGCTGATTCTCAATCTTAGACGTGTGTGTGTCCCGGTAACTCTGGTTGTCTCAGCTCCAACATTTCCCCGTCACAGCCTCAGATGGACATCCTGAGCACCAGCCACTTCAGGAAAAGCTGTTCAAAGGCCACCTCCATGTACCTTTGTTCAGGTTTTGACACAGAGCAAATGGCAGAGCCCTCCGCTGTGCTGACAAGGGGGAGGCTTACAGAAGCCTGCAGTCTTCTGGACGGCAGTCGGTGGAAGAACACTGGTTGTGAGAGAGTGGAAAGCCCTAACACCTTCCCACCCTCCCACAACCACTACAGGCCTCACAGACACTGCCCTCCAGGCCCTCTGAGCTGGCCCTCAGCCTGCCTCGCCAGAGGACGGAGCTCACTGTGCCTGGGCCCTCGGTAATGGTGGTGAGAGGCTGTCAAGGAGCAGTGTGATTGTCTCCAATGGACAATTCACACCACAGAAGATCAGCAGCTGCCAAGAGATGGGCTTGTGGGATCACAAGGCCGATGAGAGACAGCAGGGAAGCAGCAGAGGTGCAGGCCATGGTTACGCATAGTCCAAGTGCAAGGACCAGTGTGGCATCCAGCACAGCGCTTCTATGCCAAAGGCCGCAGGATCACTACGTCCTAGAGGCGATGCCATGTGCAGAATGCTTGGCTGGCTTTTCTTTTCTTTTGTACAATGAGTTGAACTGACACTTCTAATTGTGTTGGGCTTTAGTGAAAGGTGGGGAGCCTGGATTCAGAACATTCTTGAGGCCAAGGGTTGTCGATCTGGACTGCACTTTGGAAACCCCTGGGGAGCTGTAGCACCCACCTACACTTGGGTCCCAGGCCCAGAAACCCCAATTCCATTTGTTGGGAAGGTCTTTCTAAAGGTCCTGGAATGATTGGAAATTGGGCTCACGTTTTGGGCCCACAGATAGGAGAGTCAATCAAATCAAGAATCCAGCCTGCTCGTCTTGGTGGTCAAAAGCCCAGGAAGTGGTTAGGCAAAGCAGCTCGGGAAACCTGTGTGATAGCATTTTCTTCTTTGGGAGAGGGATAGGGAGATGGCAACCTCTAAAAACACGCAGTGAAATGTGACAAGTAGCAGAGGTCTTAGTATAAATGTGAGTTTTTCAGAGTTCTTGCCCGCCTACCCTGGAGCCAGCAATTGGTCTGCAGGATCCAATTAGAGTACTCTCACTCTGGAGGGAGGGTGAAAAGACCATTTTTGTGAAAACCGCGTAACTGAGCAAGACATATTCAAAATATTCAAAAGGCGAAGGGGAAAGGGGGCAGAAAGGAGGAGGAGGGGGATATGACTAGGACAGCAGAGGTTAGTGACAGGGCGACTGGAGGAACAGGAAAGATTCCATGAGGACCGAAAAAGAAGGTGTGATAATGGGCACAATCCAATAGTAATTCTATAAAACATGTATGGATGATTGTATAAAACACAGTGTAAAAAAACCAAAGAAAAACAAAAATATTAAAAACTCTCACAATGTATATGAATGGCTGAAAGTCCACCAAGTATTAAAAGTCACTGTACGCACACTTTAAGGATAATAGCACGTGCCTGTTGGGTTGTGAAGTTGAGGCCAGCGGAGGAACTGTGGGAAATGAAGGACCTTTGGGAACAGTGCCAATCTCCCTCTGTCAGGAGCGGCTAAGGGTGCACAGCAGGCTGGGGCTCTGCTACCGAACACTGGATGGTTTATAAAGCGCTTCCTCTGCTGCCTAATAACTGAAAGGGAGCGGAGCCACGAGAACCTACCAGGGCATCAGCTTTGTGCTTCAACTTCTTAGCTTCCTGCATATAATAATCAGCATTGTGGACCCTGAACAAACAAAACACACAGGTTACAAACTGCTGGTGATGCTGTTCATCTTCTGAGTAAAATACCGAAGAGTCCAAACAAAACAAGAAACAAATTTTTGCTAAAAATCCATTATTATACAATTTCTTGCAAAAGTCAGATGAATACCATCACTTATGTTATAAACCATCTTGAAATAATCCTGTAAATGCAGTCTCAAGTGCATTCGTAGCTCATTAGGATAAGTGACCACACCTTCCAGCCCCCCACCATTACAGCTATCCAAAGAGAGCAAACACGCCCTGGATGCTAGTCTATTTGTTGGTACACATTTATATCTGAGAGCAGGGACAGGGAAGGATAAAGCAACCTGGAATTAAGCACTTGCCTTTGGAAACAGCAACAAAGTTCCACAAGTGAACACAGGCCACAGCCATTTCTTGTTTGGGGCTAGAGGTATATGTGTGGGGTGGGGAAGAGGGCTTGGAGGGCATATATTTAAGATCCAGGAGCTGGAGCTGACATCTTCTTCCGGGTGACATGCACCTGGGCACATGCAACTAGAAATGCCACATGATCCCCAGCCCCAGCCCACCCCACTCATCAGTCCCAAACTGTGCCCATGAGAATCTAGGGGCAACATACGAGTCATCAAAAGTGAGCTTGGGTCTCCGCACACTGGTGCTGCTGCTGGACAGAAGGGGCAAGGCCGCCCAGGACGCCATCTCCAGGTGACTGCTATCCACGAGGCCAGTAGTGATAGTAGAGGTGATGGCAGAAATGGTGGTGGTAGTAGTTGTGGTGGTGGCTGTGGCCGTGGTCGTGGCTGTGACAGTGGCAGTTACAATGGCTGCAGCAGTGATGGTGGCTGTAGAGTTAGCAATGCCGGTAACAGCAATGGCAGCAGAGGCTGCCTTTTTTTGAGTGTCTCCCTCCTGGGAAAAAGGAGGACAAACAGCATCCATTAGGTACAGATCTTTAGGACATCTTTTCATGCATTCTGTGACTGTCAAGAGCACTGGAAAGGAAACGTGAGGAAATGAATCAATGGGCACAGCTTGAGGGGAATCTGGGTCCCTGGCGTATTGTAGGAGCCTTGTGAATTACCAGCTATTCTTCCACGATGAAAGGGAGCTCTGGTGGCCTAGTGACAAGAAGCTACGCTGCAATCCTGAAGACATAGGAGAAGAATGGGCAATCTTTTTCCGTGTGATTAACTGCCTATGAAAACTCACCAGAGGGTCAGCTGTGGGTCAGTTTCGATTCTACGGTATATAACAACAACTTTCAGGATGACACCACACTGAGATGATCCGGTGCTGTGCTCCCAACATCCCATCAAGAAAGCCATTCGCATTAAGGAATGGGAGAGAGAGATCTGGGCTTCTTGCTGAGAAGGCAGAATGAGTTTGGGTTAGGTTTGGTGATGTTAGTCTGGGTAAGAGTTCAGTATATGAGGTAGGTTGCGATGAAGGAAGTTCTCTATAGGTTTTGGTTTTTGGAGGTTGTGGAATAAGAGTTAGTTAGACAAGGGGAAGGGATTTGGTTAAGAATTTTGCCGGGGGCATTTCCCAAGGGGGAAAAGGTTGTCTGGACTGGCATAGGTTGGGGTGGTTTGTGTGTGGCCTTGGGCAGTAGCGTGGTAATAGGGACTTGAGCTTGGGCAGAAGTTCTCTTTTAATTGTTTTTGAAGAAGTTTTGAAAGTTAAGTCTCTATACACTGGAATTGGCTTTTGTGGGGTCTATTATTGGGGGGGTCTATCTTTTTTGGGACTATTCTTGGAGTGTTTTCCAAGTGCGCTTGGGTTAGGTTTAAACATCTTATGGCAACTACAGATCTGTGTAACTTTCTTAAACTTTTACATCAAGTTTATGACATGTTTTAAAAGACAACTAGCTTTTGTATGAGTTCAAAGAACAGGTATAAACAAAAGTTTGTGTATTATACAAGATCTCATCCTGACAATCTGGGTATTTGTTGAGAAACTACTTTATCATACAACAGGATAATCACTAATAGGGTGATTTTATTGGATTGAGTTTGTTAGAACAACCTAGCTAAAATATTTTTTAAATTTGATTCATTTTCTTAACTAAAGACTGTAAAAACAGTTTACTATTTATGTTTCTAATAGTCACTTTCTTTTACACTTTTACAACTTTCACAACTATTAGAACTTTTTTTGGCTTTTAAATTTTGACAAAATCAGACCTACTACTTTAAAACAAAACTACACTCTTTTTCTATCTGACAGAACTGAGTGCCACCCTTATTATCTATCTGCTTCGCTATAGATATTGATTGGTTTTTAGTGTTTCTGGGTTAGTTTACTTAAAAGCAAAGAAAAGATGAGAGAGTAGAGAGTAGAGAGATATAGTAAAGAATTCATCATTTAATACTGAGAAATAGTTAGACTTTGGGGGTATGTGGGTTATTAAAGTGTTGGGGGTTGGGTATTACTAGATATAGAAGTATACTTTTATTGATAGGTCTTAAGTGTTGGATTATTTCTTTATTTATTATTTGGCCTCTGGTCTGGTAAGATGGGAGTGTTATAAGGAAATGGTATATTTATACAATGGAATACACACCATTGAAAAACAATGAACTAGTAAAATATTATGTAAGCTAGCACTGTATTCTGTTACAAACTGCCCCATATTTCCATGTCTTTCTAAATCACTCAACCAAAAAGTGCTTAGCTACCTCTTTCAGGTCAAATGGGAAGTCAACACAGACCAGATCCCGCTTCTCTTCAGAGCCAACTTCTAAAGATGCCTAAAAGCAAGAAGTAGCTGCTTCTTCCCCCATGGACATAGCATCTACTCTTGTCTGCTTACCAGCTGGACATGGACCTGCACTCCAAGCGACCTACTTCCCCCTATATCACATACCACCAACTCTGAACTAATACCTATCCCTCTAATCCAGCACCTCAAACACACACAGCACATAATAGGACTCCTCCCTTGAGTGAATAGCCTAGAAATAGTAACAGGAGCAAGCCTAGACATGTCCCTAGAAAATTTCTGGTATCAGTTTACTGTCAAAGTCCAAAACCAAACTGACCCCCGAGTGGCAGTTGTATTACAAAACAGAAGAAGACTTAATCTCTTAACTATGATAAAACAGGTGGTGTCTGCCTGTTTCTAGAAGACTGCTGTTTCTACACCAACAAATCAGGAGTAGTTAGAGAAAGAATAATAAATTAAAAGACAAAGCCAATGCCTTAAATAGACAATCAGGGACTGAGTGGCAACTAGAAATTCTCTCTCGGCTATTCCCCATCTTAACTCCATCTGTAGTCGTTCTTCTTTTTATTTAACTCTTACTCCCTGTTTTATGCATCTCTTTTACTGCCATCTCCTGAGCAGCTGCCCAAGAACATGTGAAAATAATGTTTTCTTCGGACCTTGCAGGAAACCACCAGCATCCCCCCAGTGTCGCCCCAGTTCAGCAGGAAGTAGCTAGAGATAACTCTGGAATGGAAGAAGAATGTTGCAGTTGCCCCAGGCCCGATCACTCCTTGGAGAAACTTGAACCAAACCAGACACAGGATCCTGATAAGGCTCTGGGCTTGATCACAAAAGCTCACACCCAAGTTAATTAACAGGACCCCCATGCCCTCACTTTCCAAATTCCAAGGAAAATACCATCTTCCCTAGTCCCCTAAAATACCTCCTAGAAGAAGGAATTGTCCTTGACTGCCCTTGAACCGTTTTGGCCTTCTCCACACGTGGTCACTTGACTGCCCTCTCAGACTAGGCAATAAAGGGCCTGTTCATTTTCTTTTTCTTTTTTTTAAGAAAGCTAGTCACAAAGATCCAAATCCAGTACTCAATGTGAGGTGAGAGAAGAGGGAAGGGGAAAGGGAAGGAAAAATAGAAAGAAGAGAGACAGAATGGAGAGACGGAAAGACGATGGGAACAGGGAGAGACAGAAAGAAGACGGAGTAGGGGCACGAGAGAGAGGGGAAAACTGAAGAAAGCCATTATGTGAATACTTTGAAAGGTAAACCAGCCCACAAAACATCTCCAGGGTGAGTAGAGCCCATAGACCATTTTGTGAAATATCAGATCAAATCCAGCAAAGCACCAACAAACCAAGTATTGTCTTGCAAGGGTCAGCACCCTGGGCCTGAGGCTGAAGTAGTGCTTCTGTTCGTAGGAGGCGCTCGACCAGTTTCTGGTTTAGTGAGCACCACATACATAAACCTGCACATTTTGAAGTTGGGGTTGGTGAGGCCTCATTTCAACCAGGTTGAGCATGGAAAGGGTCTCCCTCTGAGCTGTCATTGTCTGAGAGGGGTTGGGACACAGTGAGTCAAGTAGGTGGTATAATGTAGAAATCTACTCGCTGAATGGGTCTACCAGGTCATCTGCCATGGTGTGCTCCCCCACCTGGAAGTCCTCTCTACCCTCACCATTCGTGGGACACTGACCTGCTCTCCCTTCAATCACTCTTTCCCCGTCCTCCGCGCACCACCGCCACCTCGCGCCAAATGAAGCACACCCAAGTGGAAACCGTAGTCTCAGTCTCACTTTAGTTCCACACCTGCACTGACAACCTCTGGAAAATTCTACCTTGATGGAGCATCAGCACCTCAAATGTCTCTCAAACCAAAGAGTTCACTGGACCAAAACGGTCCCCTGTTTTTTAATGTCAAGATGGCTCAAACACTAGGATGGCTTCTCCAAACTGGTGGGTAGTTAGGCTCCAAGGTTACTGTGGTGGTTCCTTTGGTCAGGGGCATCGGACCCTTCACACCCCAGGCAGAGGTTGGCTGCTTTCGTTTACTTTGACTATAAAAGTTCTGTAAACGATTTCTTCTCAATGACAGTGATGCTTCTGAAGTGTTTTTTGGAAAGCAATGCTCTAGCGTCTTTAATTTCTGCCTTTCCATTTGTTGTGGTGTACTGTCAAGTCAGAACCTACCCATAGCTGACCCTCCAGTGGGCTTTCAAGGAGCTTGCTCATCCTACTCTCGAAGAGCAACTGGGGGATTTGAACCACATGTCTTTACGATTGCAGCGCAGTTTCCTACTACTAGGCCTCCAGAGCCTTCCGCCAATCAATTATGTTTGCCTCTCTGAGAATGCTCAAACCTGCCCTTCTTCCTCAGTGTCCCAGCTCAGGTCCTTATGGCTTCTTTTTCTTTTGGTATGGTAAACTTGGACACAAAGCCTTTGTGGTTTTAACTATGTGCATGTGTACAGTTCAGTGACATGAATGACTTTTCATCATGCACCACTTCCCAATCCTAAATCATCCACTGCCCCTTCAGTGTCTCCAGAGCAACGACTCTCCCTCCCCTGTCGAGCCCCAACCACCAACATAATAATAAACTGGTCTCTACACATGTGCAGGACTTTGGAAATTCTCAGATAGCCCTCAGCTGCTCCTGTCTAGGCCAGCTTCTCATACCCGCCCTCAATCTGCTGCTTCCTAAACTGATCTGCAGCCAAATGCTAAATCTAGTCTGAACTCTTTCATCTTTGAGGCTCATCTTCCAGTACACACACCATCCCCCAACCCCCAGATCTGGACTTCTACTGCAACCAAATGGAATATGCCTTCTGCTGGACTTTAGTATCATCTCACACTAGAAAAAAAGCCTTCTCTCCATTTCTAAAACGTCAGTTGGAGAACTGGCGAAAAATAAGGCCCCGGGAATTGATGGTGTACTACTGGAACGGCATATCAACAGAGAACTGCCAGAAGTGCAGGCTGGGCTTAGAAGGGGTCATGGTATTAGGGATATTGTAGCTAATGTTAGATGGATCTTAGCTGAAAGCAAGGAGTACCAGAGGAATGTATATCTGTGTGTGGATCATAACAAACTGTGGCTGACTCTGAGAAGAATGGGAATCCCAGAACACTTGATCATGCTAATGCGAAACCTATACTTGGACCAAGAGGCAGTCATCAGAACAGAGCAAAGAAACACTGCATAGTTCAAAATTGGGAAGGGTGTATGCTAGGGATGTGTCCTATCTCCATACATTTTCAATATATATGCAGAACAGTTTATCTAGGAGGCTGGGCTCTATAAGGAGAAATGCAGCATCAGGATTGGAGAAAAATTCATCAACAATCTGCGTTATGCAGATGACACAACCCTGCTTGCTGAAACTAAGGAGGACCTGAAGCGCCTGCTGCAGCAGGTCAAGGACTGCAGCCTCCAATATGGATTGAGGCTCAATGTCAAGAAGACAAAGATTCTCACCACTGGGCCGAATTGTAAGATCATGATAGCTGGTGAAGCTTTAGTTGGCGTGGCTCCACAGTCAACAATCTTGGCATCTGCAGCCAGGAAATTAAAAGACGTATTGCGATGGGAAAGTCTGCTGTCACAGACCTCTCCAAAGTCCTGAAAAGCAATGATGTCACTCTAGAGACTAAGATGTGCCTGATACAGGCCATGGTCTTTGCAATCACTTGTTATGCATCAGAAAGCTGGACAATGACTAGGGAGGACAGAAGGAGAATTGATGCCTTTGAGCTGTGGTGCTGAAGAAGAAGATTGAATATACCACGGACTGCTAAGAAAATGAACAGGTTCATCCTAGAGAGGGTTAAACCAGGCTGCCCCTTGGAGGCAAGGATTCTGAAGCTTTGTCTGACATACTCTGGACATGTTGCAAGGAGGGACGGGTCCTTGGAGAGGGACATCATGCTTGGGAGGGTGGAGGGACAGCGCAGGAGAGGGAGACCCTTAATGGAGATGGACTGATTTGGTGACTGGGGTAATTGGGATGGGTGTGTCAGATACAGTGGGACTGGCACAGGATAGAGCAGGGTTTAGGGCTGTTGGACATAGGGTCACTGTGAGACGCAGACGACTCCACGGCACATTCCAACAACAACAACAACCATTTCTAAAGGAATCCCCAGGTGGTGTAAACAGTTAAGTACTACACATGTAACAGGCACGGTCCAGGAGCCCAGTCCAGCTCTGACACGCATGGCGGTGCCAGGAGTCAGCATGCACGCCACAGCAACCATCTACTGGTTTAATTTCTCAACCATTAAGACCCAACTTGCTCTTTCAGGATATCTGGGTTGGATTCACAACCAGGGGCACCCAGGGTCCGTCCTGTGCCTCCCTCTAGCATTGATCACTAGCTATTTTAAATGTTAGTTTTGGCACGTGTGTCTCCTCCTTCCCTGAGACTGTGAGCTCGCCAAGCACTGGAGTCCTATCAGCCTCACAGTGCCGCACTGCCCCATGCGGCCCTGCGGTCCTGTGTTCTCAGGCAGTATGGGCACTCACAAGCCAACCCAGAGGTGAGCATTTCTTGTATCTGTGACCATCAGTCTCTTCCATTTGATCCTGAGCCTTCTATCAAATAACTCTCCAAATAACCACCAAAAGCTCACTGAGATAAATGTACGGGGAGGCCGCCCATCTGACAGTTATGATGGAGATGAGGGGAATATTTTCAAGGTCAGCGTGCATTTTAGTCAACCATTCTGTTAATATAGAAAATCACCCGAGCCACCTGAAATGGCTAAGCTAGCTCTGCACACACGAAGCCAGCCTAGCCCAGACCTAACAGTGGGGGAAACTCGACGTCTGTGGCAAGAACTCTGACACGTCATGTCCACTGACACAGCGCTGATGTGACTCCTGGCAGATCTGACTGGAATGACTGGATTCAGCTGGAATCTGACAAGTTACATGTGCTTGTTCTCTGCCCACACTCACAACCCACAGAGCCAACGAACAGAAGAACTTCTGCCTAAATGCACGAGAAAAGACTCCGAGAGCGCCAAACCAAAAGCATATGGAGAGCTGAAAGTGCAGTCAGAATGTCGCAGAGCACCTCCCAAAGGCACTCATTCTACGGGTTCTGAGAGGTTTCAGGGGGAAGGTGTTGAGCTGTTTTCACTACGCCGCTAGTTTCTTAACTCGCAGACTCGAGTAAGCAACACACCACACACTTTTCCACATTTCACAGCCGCAGCAGCAGAGAGGAGGAATGGCCAGGGAAGAGGTACTTCAGTGGTCAGTATTCTGGAAGCATCTCCCCTCTACTCCCAAGACACAAAGGGGTTGGCTTAAAGACTCGGAGGCCTCAGATCTCTGTCCGCACCATCTGACTGCACGGGGCAGGGGGAACAAGACCGGTGGGAAATGAGCCTGCAATGAAAAGCTCATCCAGGGCCGGAACAAGGGAGACCTCAAATAGTGAGGAGTTTGCAAATTTGGGTATGTGCGCACCTGTCTTTTCCCTCTCCCCTCATTCCCCCCTTCGACAATGTGTCCATCGAGTCAAGTCATACGAGATGAGCTGTGGTTTCTCCTAAGACACTTACAGTCACTGATATCCCCTTGAAAGTCGCACAGAATTTGCCTTCACTTCTCTTCAATTTGGTCAAGGTGGCCTGTCCGGTTGTGAGGATGGCTTTCTCATGATTGAAGGGACCATTGTTGCCACTGACATTCCTGCGACGCGGGGGGTCCTCTGGCAGGGGGGAAAGTGGTGGGGGAAACAGCTTTTCTTCCTTCCTTCTGTTTGCTCTCCTGGACGAATTATTTCTGAGGAAATAGAAAGTGTAGGGTGTCATACACCTTGCCTCTCTTTATCCTGATCCCCACCCACCGCCCTGTCTCATTTTCAGCTAAAGTAACATTTTTGTTGGTGGTCCTTTACCCATGATAAAAACATATACACACATACAAGCATACACATAAATATATAGATACGGGCGGTATGGCTACAGATACAGGTATAGAAAGTCTATGGACATATTGTACTGTTAATGCCGCCATGTACCGATGCGTTGGAACCCAGTCACAGCCGACCGTTTAGCATGTTTTCAGAGGCATTAAGTCACATGGGAGGAGACTGCCCATTTTCCCCCCTTAGAGCAGCTGTTTGAGTAGCATCGGTACATGGCCATCAGAGTTCCCTTATAGATACAGGTATTAAAACATATGCATCAAGAGTAAATACATGTTTTCAAAGCAGAATTCCATACTAAAAGCAAGTGTCCAACAAAGTCTGCTGCACAGGGATATCTGCAGCCCTTCAAAGACACTATTACTTACAGTTTTATGGAGACTTTAAGCCCATCATTTTCCAAGATGGTTCCTACTTAATTTGATGTAGACAGTAACTGCTCAGTCATTCAATAAATGGTACAATAACTAATCAGAATCCACTCCAACTCATTGCCTTCGAGCCAGAACTGCCCCTGGCCACAACTGGCCCTCTATAGGGTTTTCTGAGTCGATGACTCACAGGGGAAGAGATGTTGTTTGCTTTCTTCCTTGGAGCAGCTAGTGGATCTGAACCACCACAGGGTGCCACCTTTGTGTTAGCAGCACAACTCCCTACAGACTACGCCACCAAAGCTCCCTAAACAATTAGAGGAAGTATATTTTCCTAAGACATACTGTTGTTGTTATGCACTTTCCAACAGGAACAGATCCATAGCTGACCATCTAGTGGGTTTTCAGAGGCAGTCAATCACATGGAAAGACCTATCTTTTCCCTGTGAAACAGCTGGTGGATTTGAACCTTGTACTTTGAGTTGCCAGTGGAACTCCTCACTGCTAAGCCACCAGCGTTCCCTGAGACATGCTACACATATAAATTACTTAGAAACACGGAACACACTCAGGACTCTTGTATCACATTGTGGTTTGTAGAATAAATTGTTCCACTCTAATGTCAAGGCACAATGAGCTGCTGACCTTAACTTGGTATGCTAAAGTGCTGATATAATCCATGTCACAAAATTCTATTTACCAAATATTTCATTGTCATACTGACACCAGACAGCTGCATTCCTCAAAGCACTGCTGTTCATTTTGTACTGATTTATCTGCCCATTAAATGGGCACCCTCACATAGACTGAGACTGGAAATAGGACAGAAGAAAAGAACAACTAAAACTCTAATGCTAGCTGCTTAACATGGTAATTGGGTCATGGATTTTCATTTTAGTTACTGTCTCAGTCTAATCAATGGAGATTACTTGAATTTTAGTCTTTCCTTGGACAACTAATAGTGCACTATGCAGTAATTTACTTTTCATTATTATTGACTACCATATTCAATAGCAAATTAAATCCACAGGAATTTATGTTTTCCTCTTGGTCAATTTCAGTCTGTGTAGAGAAATATAGATTTACAATACTGCAAAGCAGCCAATCAAAGATGAACAAGCATTCAAGTGGCCTGATTTCCAGAACTGGCAGAAGTCGATACAGTCTCTTTGCTCCACTCCACTGTGTGACACAGATTTGCCAACTGTAGTAATATTTGTCATCTTTGCCACCTTTTACTTCACAAATGAGGCTTATGTGAATTTTTGTCCTATGGCAAAATTTAGAGAAAGAAAACCATAACCATTTCTGCCATTACCATAACTTCTTAAAATTCATCTAAAAACATGTATCAGGCAGTGGATTTAAAAAATTTCTCTGCACACAGAACCATTTTAAGAGTGTTGTTTGGCGTGATTGAAATGATGGTGGTAAGATCACTGTCCTTAATCTGAATCCTTGTTCACCACCATTTTAATCAGGAAGCTCCACAAACCTCAGACCACACTATAACCAGGATGGTGTTAGGTCTTTGGGGCTTGTACAGAGGTATGACAAGCATTGTCGGGCATCTAGAACTCCAAATGGTTTCTTGGAAGTCACCACTCTCTTAGGAACTGCCAGAAGAGGAGCTGGGGTTTTTTTGGTTTTGTTTTTTATTATAGATGTTCTTTTATTTTTTTACTTTTCCTTATTTGTGCTTTTCTATAATGCCATTGTTCTTCTAATTGTGAAAGGAAACTAGGGTGGGTTTTTTTTTTTTGCTGTCATTCTTATTTATTTTCCAACTTTTAAATCCATAGCGAGTAATCTAAAAGGCCATGGCTTTAACCAGGTCTTTAAGCTGACATCATTGCTCTCCAGCACTTTGGAGAGACCCCTGACAGACAATTTTCCCAATGCAAGATATCTTCTGATCTCTTGACTGCTAGGACCAAAGATGCTTATTTGGGATCCAAGTAGGATGCTAGTGTTGACAATAACCATCTTTTCTCCAACTGCCATGATGTTGACTATTGGTCCAGTGGTGAGGGTTTGTTGAAGGCTGTAGTTGTTCTGTTTTTTTATTGGTTTGGTTACAAAGTTCCTATACACTGTGTTTCACACTATTCTTCATTCACATGGTGTTTGATACAATCATTCTCTTGCATTATGTTTTATAAAATTAACCACCATTGGACCTTGGTCCATCACTCACTACCTTATCTTTTTGCCCGAATCCTTCCCATTGCCTTCCTCCCCACAAGCTGTGCAACCCTGGGGTTTCCCCCCATCCATCCTCAGCCCTCCGCCCGCAATTAGTTTCTATACATGTTTTACTAGTTATCCTTCTATTTTTACAATAATAGTCGCATGCAATATTTATCCTTATGAGACTGCATTAGTTCACTCAGCGTAATACTTTCCAGCCTCTCTCAAGTTATGCAATTTTTAAAAAAATCATTGCTTCTGAGTGCTACATAGTATTCCATTGTGTGAGTGTACCACAATTTCTCAATCCATTTGGCTGTGTTGGACATTTGGGCTGCTTCAATGTTCTTGTAATGTTGAGTAACACTGCTATAACATTAGTGCACAAACCTCTGTTTATGTCTCAGTTCTAATTTTCTTGAGGCTTATTCCTATTAATAGAATAGCTGGGTCATATGGAGTTTCTATGTTCAACTTTTTGAGGAAATGCCAAAATGTCTTCCAGAGTGGGTGCACCATTTTACAATCCCACCAACAGTATATGAGCGTTCCCATCTTTCCAAATCCTCTCCAACATTTATTGCTTGCTGCCCTACTAAACTTTGCTACTGCTACTAGGGTGAGCTGGTATCTCATTGTGCCAGTGAGTTTGAGCATTTCTTCATGTGTCTGTTGGCTGCCTGAATGTCTTCCTCTGTGAAAAGTCTTCCCATGTCTTTTGCCCGTTTTGTAGTTGCATTATCAGTCTTTTTCTTCTGGAGATCCAAGAATATTCTGTAAACTATCCTTGTGTGAGATGGTATTGCCAAATGTTTGTTCCCAGTAGGTAGGCTTTCATTTCACCCAGTTGGAAAAAGTTTTTGATGAGCATGGAGATTTAATCTTTAGAAAGTCCCATTCACCAATTCTATCCTCTCCAGATTGAGCATTTTTAGGAGTTACTTTCTAGAGACTGATTTGCTACTGTCTTCTACCATTGTGTGGAGATCTGGTGGTGCAGTGGAGTGTGTGTTAGGCTACTAATTGAAGGTCGGTGATTTGAAGCACGAAAAAAAGATGAGTGGGTCTACCTCCTTACAATTTTATAGTCTTGAAAATATTAAGAGACACTCTGTCCCAAGGATTACTATCAGTTGAAATTGATTCAGTAGCAGTAGGTGTGACCTACTGGTAGTTTGGTATCCTTGCTACCAAACTAGTCAATGAGGGTCAATACATTCTTTGATATGGGCTCTAGTCAGTTGGCACCCTCTATCTGTCTGAAGTAATCTGAAACAATGGGGCTTTTAAAGGCTTGCATCAGAAAGACTCAGGGAGTTCTTCCAGAGGTTCCTTGATCACAGTTACAGCTTCCCACTACGGAGTTTTGTCTCTTTGTATCTCTCACATTATAAGCCAGACGATACCAGGAGTATCTTGGTAGAGAGCAGTAGAGGCCCTCAATTCCCTCAGAGGCCTCACTGAGTTCAAGTTTGAGAGAAAGACAGGACTTCAGTAGGGTGATGAGGAACTTGACTGCCATAGTCTCATGTGGACTTCGTGGTGGAGTTCACAATATTCATCTAGACAAGTGAATATTGGCTTCTCGAAAACTCCAATGATTTGGTATGAAAGTCCAACAAGGGACAAAAGAAAGGCAAAGCTGGAGAAGAGGCTTCTCAGGAGATGTTTTCAAGGTCCATTCATGTTGTAGCATAGATCAGAATTCCATTTTCTTTATGGCTGGGTCCATTGTGTGGATGGATTTTGCTTATCTACTCCTCAGCTGGGCACTCAGGCTGTTGCCATCTTTTGTCCACTGTGACTTAGGGCTGCAGTGAACCCGGTGTCCACGTGTCTGTCTGAGTGACTGCTCTCTAGTCTCTGGGGTATACACACACCTCTGTGTGGAATTGCTGCCTTTTCCTTCTGCTGTCAGGTGCCCTGTGAAGCATGCAGATACTGCCATTAAAGCCATGCAATTTGACTCCTCCCTCCTTGGAATGGAGGCTAGCCCGAGAATGACCATGTTGGCCCATGTGCCAGTGTCATCCCGAGCTGAAGAGGGCTGGCTTGCTCCACAGGAAAGGGCTCTCTAGGTCTAATAATTCCAAGTATGTGATTGGACGTTTGCAAGTCAAGGTCTCCCAGATAACACAGGTGCACCTCACAAACACCCACAGCCCCTCAAGGGGGGACAGTCTAGGTGTAACGATCCTTTGTACAGACAGAAGGGTCAGTGATAATTGGCCTCTTGCTATTTTTTAATCTTAAAACGGCAAGAATCCAGACAAATGTAAGCTGCTAACTTATTTCCGGCATCTTATCTGTGGCAGATTGATGCTGTCTCATTGATGTTAAACAGTAATCTGTGAAATCAATTGTTTGCAGCCCTTAGCCAGATTGCCTCTCTACTCTGGGCTTTTAATAGGCTCCAAAACTGGTCTTTGATGGAAGTAATCTCTAATTTTACATTAATTTATAGCAATAATTACCCAGACAGAATGAGTAAAGCAGCTGACATGATTGTTACTTACATTATATTTATGAGACAGAAAAATGTGGTCAAAATGCTTAGACTAAAGAAAGGACAGGATTTCTCCAGGGAAGGCTGGTCTAGTCTGGGTGAGAGGGGCACAGAGGAGGCCTGCTGCCTAGTTCTGGCTCCTTCCACTCAGGGAGCAGGAAGAAGGCCAGTTGGTGAGAATTAACATGTCCATCTCAGTCACATCCCTCACACAGAATTGCCCCAAATACAGGGAAATTCCCAAACCTGTATCTCTTTGACCTCAGCCAACGCATCCTTCTCTTGCCCTGCATGGAGTTCAGGAGTTAGCTCCTGGGCTTTAAGCAGCACATTAACATTGGGTAAAGACACTAAAGAAAAAGTGGCAGGTCATTCGCCTAAGACCCAGGGGTTACTGTTCCCTAGGAATAATAGATCTGAGCCCTGCCCTTTTCTGTGCCATCATCACAATCTTTGACATACTCAAGTCCAATGCTGCAGTCACTGCGTCCGTCCATCTGATTGAGAGTCTTTCCCTCCACCGTCCCAGGCATAATGTCCCTCTCTAAGGAACGGCCTCTCCTAGCAACATGCCCAAAGTAGGTGAGACGAAGCTTCATCAGCCTTGCCCCCAAGGAGCACTCGGGCTGACCCTTCTCTAAGACACATCTATTTGTTCTTTTGGAAGTCCATGGGATAGTCAGTACTCCAACACCATAGCTCAAAGGCATCAATTCTTCTTTTTGTCATCCTTACTTATTGTCTATCTCTCAGATGCATATCAAGTGCTTGAAAAGATCATGGCCTGATTCAGGTGCATTTCAGTCTTCAAGCTGATGCTGCTTCACATTGGGATGCTTTCTGTGATCAATCTGAGTTGCAGCAGAGGAATGTTGCAAAAAGCTCATGTTATCCCACAGGCCTCTGCTCTGGTAGCTGGGATTGTATCCTTTCCCTTGTCTCATTAAAACACTGACTGGGTACAACTCTCCGGCCTGGATTGAGTGACTCCTGGCCTAACATTCCCTCAGTGGTTTCAACTGGGATCTCTCATGAGCCTGAACACCATAGTATTCTCAATCAGTTCACATGAATTTGAGAACTGGACAACGAATAAAGACCAAAAGTGAACGGATGTCTTTGAATTGTGATGTTGGTGAAGAATAGTGAATGAGTTGAGGGGCTGCTAGTCTTGGGCAAAGTGTAGCCAGAGGCCTGCTTCGAGGTGAAGATGGTGAGATTTTGTCTCATACCCCCAGGTGTCCTATCAGGAGGACCCAGTCCCCAGAGAAAGCCAAGGTGCTTAGGAAAACAGAGTGCCCGCGAAAGAGAGGAAGACCCTCCAGGAGGTCGAGCGACATCATGGCTGCAACAGTGAACTCAGGCGTAACAAAGGGCCCAGGACGAAGCACTGTGTCGTCCTGTTGTACATGAGGTTGACAACAACCATCAACAACATGAGTCTGGACACTGTGTGTGGAGGTGGCAAACTCACTCTCTAGTGCTGGGAGGCTTGTGTGGTGGCACTGGTGAGATGCAAGGTGGGAGCAGGCAGATCAGTGAAGAATCTTCCAGGCGCTGCTTCTTCTCGGGAATTTTCTCTGCAGCTTCTGTTGGCTTTAGTGGGAACAGCAACAGGAAATACACAGAGCTTGAAACAGTACATTCAGACACCCATGTTTCACACATTTACAGAAGACATCAGGATGGAGTTCGCTCCCTTTTAATTTCTACACTGGCTGGCAAAGACACACCTTTGATGGGCTAGAGAGCATCAGCTTGGTCTTGCCCAGTTCTTGGGTGAAGCTGGCATTTGAAAGAGCTGAGCTGTGATATGAATTCCTGGTCAAAGTCTTAGTGACACAGGAATCACTTAACAATAGTACAGAGAAGCTGCAGGATTTAAGCACCTCTCCCATCAACAATAACCCCCCACCCCCAAATGAGCATAGTTTGGAACCAGGCTCTCTGCTCTTGGCATACATCTCATCCAAGGAGCCTGGAGACTGCAAGTGACCAAACGCTACCTCTACAATTGACAGCATGCAAGGAAATGAACACATGCATGGCATGCCTTTGGATCGTTGCCTGGGTTGGTTCTAAACCTACACTTACACCATTGGTTTAACTGTTGTCATGACAGGGAACGAAAGAATGAATGTCTGTTCACTAAAGCCATCCATCTGTCATCCCTCCGTGACAGCAGCACTGGGAGAAAAGACAGTGGGGATGGGATCTTTCTTCATACTCTTGCCCGATCCATCACAACCTCTCATCTCGTGGGCTTAACTGGCTGCTCCAGCCATTTGCTGCCCAACCTGGAGCCTTCCTAGAACTTTTCTCTGGTCATGTACAATCATGCATTCCCATGGAGGGCGTGGCCACTTTCCCCAAAGCCTGCAAGCCCTTGACACTGGCCTTGCCCTCGACACTCCAAAGCACACAGAGCAGCGGCCAGCGCCTGCTTGGCTTCGTCACCTGGGGCTCTCTGGACTGCTCACCTTGTGCTTACGCTTGCCCTTAGGGGCGGGCTTTTCTGCAGCTGGGGCGCTGGGCTGACGCTTGGCTTTGGGGGCAGCATCCTTGTGGTCCGGCTTAGGGGGCACAACTTGGAGTAAGTTGTGGCCAGGCACTCTCACGAGCAAGTCCAGGTCAATCTTCACCCAGAGGTTTTTCATGCTCTCGGGCTCTTGGATGGGGGAAAGCAGCTCAGAATGCAGAACGGAGAGGGGTGAGAAAGACGGTTCCTCGCTGGTGACAGGTGCATCGTTGTTGCTGCTGCTAGTCACTGAGGCGCTGAGGGTTTGCGTGGCAGTGCAGGCCTCCTTGGATTTGGCCAGGCTTCCTCCGGAGGCAGCGCACGGAGGCAAGGCTTTCATCTGCAGGGTCTCTTCATGATCTGTGTTGGAATCTGATGTGGACGAGTCCGTTTCAATGAATTCCCGGGACTTGGGCACCGTCTTGCCAGGCCCTCTGTACTTCTTCTTCTCCACAGTCACGGGCATGCTGGGTCTGGGCTCCTTCCTTGGGCCTGGTTTGTGCGCTGCGGCTTTGCTGCGGCCTCTTGGGGGGTCAGGCAGCTCCACACTTTCTTTTTCTTTGGGAGTGTTGCTGTTATTATTTGGTTTGGGCCAGGCGAAGTCATCCACGGTGGCACTCTTCTCTGTCTTTTTGGGTTGTTTTTTCCCAATTGTCCTTTGTGAGGCTGTGTCAACAGAGATTGGCAACTTGTGCTTCAAAGCCTTTGCTTCTGGAACTTTCTGGGTGGGGCGTGGGCGAGCTTTCTCCCGAATGAGATTGAGGAGAGGCCTTTCTTTGGGCTCAGCCACATTCTGGCTGGGGTTTGCCTTATTTTTGACCTGGACTTCCACTGGCTGAATGATCGGAGGCGGCAGAGAAATGGTCTCCATGGGGGGCTCATTTTGCCCACAGATGAATGACTTGTTCTGGGAGGTCACTTTGTTAAGCCATTTGTCCAGCTGCCACTTGTTGGTGGAGGGTGGTTCAGGCTGCAGAAGGAGAAGTGACAGTAAGATTTAATGTGGCAGCGGCAAAGAAGATACACTTCCCAGGGCCCTGACTATTTGCTGCTTTAGTTTTCGATGCTAAGTGACCATTGCACACCCATGCATGCGCACACAGCCCTTCCCATACACTAAATGACCCAGAATGCTACAACTTCCTTAAACAGACCTCAATCTAGTTATTCCAATGACTTTCCACTCCTCTTCCGAAGATAGTCTCTGCTCTGGCCAGGAAGGAGAGAATTATTCCAGAGAGTCGAAGCTAGGCATGTGGACCTGGCAGGAAATTTGTTCCCCCAATCCTATGGGGTACTCATTACTCAACCGCTCTCTAACAGGGAAAGGAGATGGAAGTGGGCCTCAGATGTACCTCAGAAGGAAAGCCTTTCCATCTGCTCAAGGGCCAGCGCCTCGTGAATGATGCGGTAATTCACCGCACACAGAGCAGGTCTTTTGTATTTCTACTGAAGGATGAAAAGATTTGACTTCCCAGAGAAAAAGAAAACCCTGCACTTTCCTCAGCGTATGGGCAATAACCAATTTACAGGGACATGCGTGCAGACATTAGCGACCGCTGTTAAGCCATGGAAATGATGTGTGCAATTCAGGTCCTTGGTTTCCAACTCAAAATTCTGCCAGTTGAACTAAAAGAACCATCATTTTTATTGGAACTGATCTTCTTTCGAAAGCCATCAGCTGAGGCTTACGGTGCCAGCCAATAGAGGGTGACAGAATTACAAACACTCGAGTAGCTGCGATTCCAACCTGCACAGGCAAATGGCAGGGAAGCTGCCCGGCTGCCGCTCTGGTAACACTGGTTTGCCTGCCGGTGACATTGTGCACAGTGTTTGTTCTTCTGGAACCTCTCTGAAGCGCATTCTTTCTTCTGTCAAATGAGATGGTTGTAGCAAGTGCCCTGAAAGGTTGTTATGATGATGGGTCTTGTCAGATCAGGCCTTTCCCAAATGAAGCCACACTATGAGGCCAACACTGCATTCCTAGCTACTAGACAAGCAGAAAGACTAGAAAGCCCAGGAGTGAACACACCATGATATGAGCACAGACTTGCATTGCTACATAGTTGCTTACTGCCCGGTTCCCTCTCTTCCATGTGGCTGCACAATCACCACTCAGTGAGGGCCTTCGAGATGCTCCCACTGAAGGCTGGTGGGTGTGGTAATATCCCATTAACTTCTACCTTTTTCTTTTGCCTTCAGGCACTCTGAGCCTGGGAACAGGGTGCTATTTGAGTCCTTCGTCCTTGGAATGCAGGGGGTGGGGGTGGGGCTTGAGAGAATGCAAGGAGAGAGCTTTGACTAGCGCCTGGCCAGGGCTCATGGTCAACAGGTGTTACATGGTGATAGTGGAATCTCTGTGTGGTGCACACAGATGGTGTCCTTGGCTGTTCACCAAAACACTGATAGTCCAAGTCTACCTAGGAGTTCCTGGGAAGAAAGGTCTGGCAAACTGCTTCCAAACTCTCAGCCACTGAAAACTCAATGGGGCACATCCCTACTCTGACATTCATGAGGTCACCGCGAGTCAGGTTCACTGGACGGAAACTGGCTTGGTTAGTATTAATAAACAGTAGTGATAGTGCTACTGTATCTTCCATTACTCTTCTCTGATTATTGAGAACGCAGCCTTCGGAGAGCCAAAGGGACTGACTGTTTGCTGGGCAGAGAGATGCAGGCTCTGAAAAGCTGAGTGTGTGTATGGGGGCAGGGGAGGTGAAATGATTTTCTTCCATAATTATGATATTGGTGTTTTCTGGGGCCATGTTAAATGTTTTCATGAATTGTTATGAAATGCACTGAAAAGATGCAAATGGGAAAAAGAACCACCTAAAGCCCAATACGGAGAACCGTGCGTCCTTTTCACCACACCTAGAGTAATGAGTGGCTTAAGGGTCAAAGGCTGAGTTTGGGCTGGCTCCACTGGTTCTTTCAGAAGATGCATTGCTAGCACCGAGATGCCTGTACCAGTCAGAGGGAAAGTGCCATCAAATACCTGGAAACTTCCGAGTCTAGAGAAGACAACATTATGTTGACTGGGTCTGTGTATATATGTGTGTGTGGTGGGGATTATTACGGTTGAACTGTTGGAACCCTAGCCTCGAGGCCTGAGGACGTAATGTAATCCCTTTCATAATGCACTCTGGTGTGATGTTAATGAGGACCTGCCAGTGCAGAGTAGGTTCTACACCTCATCTTAGTTCCAATAAGCACCGATGAGACACACGGACACACGGGGAGGTGAGTGCCATGTGAAGGTTTCCCAAGAACCGAGAAGAGCTGAGCTGCAGACTCTGAAGCCGACAAGGACTTGTCCCCGGTGTCTACAGGGAGGCACAGAGATAGTCCTCCCTTAATGCTGGTGCCTGAGTTCAGATTTACAGATTCCTGAATTCGGAGAAAGCAGTTTCTGTTAAGACAACACCAGGAGACAAAGACGGGGTACCGATTCAGGGACAGCCAGATTGGGGGCCCACTCACCTCTGGAGTGGCCACTCTCGGGGCCTCATTGGATTCACTGTCAGTGGTGCTGCTTTCAGTGTCTGAGTCTGACTCAGAGCTACTTTCTGATTCACTCGAGCTTCCAGATCCTCCATTGGCTGGCACTGTGGGTGGGGGCTGGGGTGTGGCCACAAGGAGACTGAAAGAAAAAAAAATTCACATCATTCATTGTCTTGTTCAATCCCAAACCAGAAAGGAAGCAGTCCCGTCACACAGAGACAATGAGACTCACCCCATACAGTAACCTTCCGAGTGTACAAGGTTTGATAGAACAGGTCAAGGGGTGATCAAATCCATGTATGTGTACCATGGGTTTCGTCACATTGCCTGCCTCCCAGGAAGGCTTGGTTCCCCAACTCCACATGGAAACTTCCAGTCAAGGTCATCCACCTTTTGGTGACCCTCTATCTGTTTGCCAAGACTACCTAAATTTTTATGAGAGAAAATGGTTCTGCCTTTAGTGAATTTGAACCACTGATATTTTGGTTAACAGATCACCATATAATGTGCCAGGGATACCTGGGGATAAAGGTAGACTTGATCCAAAGAGGACATCATGAAAACTCAGACGAGAGGTGGTTAGTGAGCCAAAGTTTGTGGAAAGGAATGACAATTGTTTAAAAGGGAAGCCAAATTATGTTTTTCCAGAACTTTCCCATGCCTCTACTTCTCATCTGCTCCTCATGGAGTTGGAGAATCTGATTGCACCACCTCATGTGGACCGTAAGTGGCAGATCTGAGCCTGGGCCTCACTTCTTGTGGGCCCAGCACGCATCCAGTGGGACTGCTTCTAGGGGCGCAAAGTGAGTAGAAGACTCACATGCTGCCTTCACAATCAGGCCAAACATCACTACCCAAATGATCTGTGCCACGTTCTTATCTAGACTCCAATGTGGAACTTTAAAAGAATGTTATTTTGGTGAAACATGTGTAGCAGAACAGTCGTCATCTCAACCATTTTAATCCATACATTTCAATAACATTAACTACGTTCACCATGCTCAGTTCTCAACACTATCCATTTGCAAAGCCTTTCACACTCAGTACCTGTAAGCAATATCTTCCTATTTCTTCCTCCACCCAAATCCTCCGTGTTACTAATAAAACTTTGGTCTCTATAGGTAAAATCTCTTTCCTTTTCTAGCTGACTTATTTCACTTAGCACAATGTTTTCAAGACCCATTCATATCAGAAATTCATTTCTCTTGATGGCTAAGTAATACTCCTTTGGATGTACGTGCTAAGACTCGTTTGTCCATTCATCTGCTGGTGGGCACATGTGCTGATCATGACGGAACTTTCAAGTTAGCAGCTCATCACAAGATTCCACCTCCAATACTTCACTGAAGTCTGCTGTTCATCTGGTTAAACTCTCACTTCTGCTACATTGATTTTCATTCATCACTGATTTATTTTTGAAATGTATATCAAAGTGGTTGAGTGAAGCTACCTCACGCAACACTTGATTTTGCCTAAAAGATGAAGGATTAATGTGCCATTTTCACATTCTTCATTCACAAGACTGTATTAAAATCATTTTCCACACACCATTTACTCTCATATTTAATAAACTGCTGTTAAAAAGAATGTTAGTGGTTACAACAATAATAACATGTGATACTAAAAATGATCAGCACTTAATATATCCAACCATCCACTCTATATTTTGTAAACATTAAGAATGCACTCTGTGACTTCATTCCTAATTTCTCTAAGGGCCCAAATTTCTAACAAACAACTTCAAAATCAATTGCTTAACTCTTTCAGAGATCAGATCTTGCTACTGCATTACAACCAGGGTGCAAAGTCTGAGCAGACAAAGGACCATTTTAATTCCAACTGCCATCTTTATGGGTTCCTAGCCATGGACTGAACTGAGAGCAAACAAATTGGCCTAGCAAGTCAGTGACCCTAGCAGAGAACGCCAAGGCTAGGGGAGGCTATCAAACCACAGGCCAGTGGGAGAGAAGTTTGCGAGGCACTTAAGGGGTCTTCTCCAGATGGGGTAGGCCCTGATGTGGAAGACCTGAGAGGATCAGGAGAAAAAGTTGAGTTGGGGGAGGTAGCCCAGGTAACTAGAAATACCAGTTTCTTTATCAAGCCTCATCTGAAGTAAAGAGTTTAATTTTTGATGTCATCGTTTATGGTAGATGCAACTAAGATGAGAACTCTGGAATCTATATTGAAGGAACAATGATTAGTTTGCCTGGAGAAGGCTTTGGGTAGGTGCTTCACATAAAGAGAGCTCTCAAAATACCTGAAGGTCTTGCCTGTGAAGAAAGAGTGGATTTGTTCTGTGGAACTTCAAAAGTAAAGCGAAGGCATATAGACCGGAAGTTATCACCTTAACAGCAGGAAGAACTGTGAAGACTCTTGAGTAAAAGGAAGAAATTCTCTTAAAAAATACAGTGAGTGCTCTGGTCTTAGGTGACGAAATGGCTAGTTAAAGTTGCTGTCATTGCTAGGTGCTATTTGAGACTCTGTGAACAGCAGATCTGAACCTTGCCCTATCATGCACCAACCTCATGATTTCTGATAAGGTTGAGCCCATTGTGGTGTCAATCCATCTTGTTAAGGGTCTTTCTCTCTTTGATCCTCTACCTTTCCGATCATGAGATCTTTTCCCAAGGACTATCCTCTCCTTACAACATGTCCAAAGTATGTAGATGAAGACTCACCATCCTTGCCTCTAGGGAAGACCCCGGTTGCATTTCCTCCAAGACAGAATTGTTTGTTCTCTTGATATATTCAGGATTTTTCTCCAACACCACAGTTGCAAGGCATTGGTTCTTCTTCAGTAATCCTTATTCACTGTCCAACTTTCACATGCATGTGAAAGAAGCCAGTGTACAGACTGGTAAATGAACTTCTATCATGGGTTACAAATGGAGTTGGTTATCTTTCAAGCATCTTCGAACTAAAAGATTATAAAGTTTCTGAAAGAAATGATAATGCAGACTGACGAGGCTATTGAGACCTTTGAGAAAGTATGGAAGGAGTCACTTGCACCATCTTACAGCTACAATATATGGACCTTGGAGTAGTAAAACAGCATTGACCTGGGACTGTTTTATAAATCAGACCTCTCGCTAATTCAGATTAACAACCTCCAGCAAGCAAACATCTGCCTCAGCACACTCGACTATAACCCTCATTTAACTGTAAGTTCCTTTCTCAGGAGAGAAACAGGGAAGATGAATTAGCCATTCTGCTCAATCAAGCTGTGTGGCCATCAAAAAGCAAAGGTTCCAGAATGGGGAACAACACAGTATTGTAGAGGGACCCATGCAAGGGAAGGAGGTGATGAGTAAAAGCATGGTATACCGATCTTGGCCCAGAATTTGCCAGACATATGGACCACAGGGGCACTAGATCGACAAGTCTTGTATTAAATCCTCTGCTTTCATTTAGACTTACATTAATTTCGGCCACGTGATCCTTTTCCAGTTTTATAGGGATCAAATGTCTACCTAGCAGATAATTTGAAACTATTTTATATTTTATTCCATCATTAAATTATAAAATGATGGCCTTTGGGTGAAGGTATTAAGAACCGTAGGTGAGCTTTTTCTCTCCTTCCCCTCCTTTTCCTCATTCGTCTTAGAGCACTAGGCCACTAGTGGGAGGCACCCTGAACAGGAACATATCCTGGCCAAATGCACTGCAATGGAGTCAGCTCTGACTCACGCAACTCTATTAGACTTCTGAGGCTGTAGATATTTACAGGAGGAGGTTCCTCATCTTTGACCTGGGCAGCTGTTTACTTAGCAATGTGAACCCCAGTTCTACCCTGATATAAATGGTTCTCCATGCGCCAGAGCAGTCACAGGGTAGATCTCATGTTCTGCATTTCTAACAAATTCCCAGGCTATTCAGAGCCTCCTGGTCTTGGCTCTTGGAACACAAGAAACCCGTGTTCTATTCCAGCATGGCTAGAACCTTCAGGGGCCTTCCCAATGTGAGCCATTAGGAAAACCATTTGGTGAGCTATGGCTTCAATGCACTTTGGTAATTAATTGCGAATTGTCTTTTTACATAATTAGCTTGCCCTCCTTTAGCAACTGGAAGTGCCTTAGGTCATATTGCATTGGACATAGCCAAGTAAAACTTTAAGCTAAGCTTCTGCTGACAATTTTTGGGAGGCTACACCAGTAGTCAACCTAACAGGTGTCCCCCTCCTCCGAATGTGTCCTATGGGTCACTAACAAGAGCCTAGAGTAGCTTGCCAACGGTAATGTGTCTAGGGTATTGCATGACCCTGGACACGAGTCATTCAGCACCTCCTTAATATTAACCCAATGTGCTTCCTCAAGCAATATACTAATTCAAAGATTAATGAGTGTTTCTTGTATTTTTGGCCTGCTATTAGGGTAAAAAAATCACTTGCTATGCATCAGAGAGCAGGACAATGACTAGGGAGGATAGAAGGAGACTTGGTGCCTTTGAGCTTTGGTGCTGGAGAAGAGTATTGAATGTACCATGGGCTGCTAAGAAAATGAACAGGTTCATCCTAGAGAGGGTTAAACTAGAATGCTCCTTGGAGTCAAGGATTCTGAGGCTTCGTCTGACTACTTTAGACATGTTGCAAGGAGGGGACCGGTCCTTGGAGAGGGGTGTCGTGCTTGGGAGGGTGGAAGGACAGCGCAGGAGGGGAAGACCCTCTATGAGGTGGATTGATTCAGTGACTCGGTAATCAGGGTGGGTGTGTCAGACACAGTGAGACCAGCATAGGACAGAGCAGGGTATATGGCTCTTGTACATAGGGTCGCTATGAGTCGCAAGTGACTTGATGGCATATAACAACACCAACACCACCAACATTAGGTTAAAGTTATCTAAAGGATAGGTGTCAGATGTTTGGACAGGGATCTATTTCAGTGCTTCCCACAGATGTTTTTCCTGGAGATGTGCTGTTGGCTCTTCAGGAGTAACAGAAACTGCTCAAGAAAGTGACCAAGTCCACTGTCCTAGATGAGGGTCAAGATGGTAAATGATCAGGATCATGTACATGGTCACACCTTGACCCAGAACATAATTCACAGTGGTAGTGAGAATCCCATAGGGAACTCTGGTGGCCTAGTGGCAAGAAGCTGGGATGCAATCCTGAAGGCACTCAGTTCAAAACCACCAGCCACTACG